ATGGGATGGTATATATGTAGATGTATACAAAAGAAATGAAAAGGTCATTCATCCATTCCTTATCAGGAAGATAAACTATCGAATTGTAATACCACCTACCTAGACGGGGCACCGAACAGAGCACAGAGTTCCAAGCTCAGCCATCTACATGTACATTGTACCCCGGACAAGGCCACCAGTTCAAGCACCGAACGTTTCAGAAAGAATAATCGCAGATCCATCAATCTCGGGCCTGAAAAATCGACCAGGTCAGGTGCATCGGAAAAAAGAAAGGAAAAACGCCAAAAATCAAGAATACAGGGGTGAGGGGTGAAGGATAGGAAGGGGGCTCACTAAAGAAAATGCAGAATAAAATAAAAGCCGCCCAGCCAATACAAGAAAGACCCAACCTCTAAAGGCCCGAGATCCCCATCCCTGCAAGCTTGAAAAGAAGATGAGACAAAAGTACCACCCGCGGGGAGGGGATGAGGGAGGAGGTAGTTCGCGCAGATCCAACACAAACCGGAATCCTGGATCGGGAAGACCAATACTAATAATAAACCGAGGTCATCTACTGTATAGCACTAGTCAAGTCCAACTCGGTTAATATGAGGTGCACATGTGTACGATGTATACGGCCATTAGTTATCAGTCATAAAGCATAAATCACAAACCTCCCCTTCTCATACAGTACGTTTTGGCAGTACTTTCTTTAAGGTCGGCAAGGCAGGCTAGATCTAGGCCTAGACCCCGGGACTTCAATAAGTAATCGTTCGCACTGATCGCTCCCACATGTCTTGAACATGATATCTGGTGTACATTAGCTGCAGCCAGAAGCTCCCGCGGAAAGACGGAAGTGGTGGCGGTGGCTTCGATTCGACTCGACGAGATAAGCGCTCAGTCCTGCGTATGGGCCGTGGTGGCTGATTTTTTGGCATGATTTGCAGGGCCAGCTCATCGATCTGGGATCTGGGGGGGTGTGTGTGGGTGGGCAAGGAGGGGGAAGGAGTCTTTGTGCCTTGTGGCTGGCTTTGGGAGATATAGAGTTCTAGGCTTTGCTGTACTTTTGGGTTGAGAGTAATATTGACCGTTGGAGTGTTCTGTGTAGATTGAAGGAAGTCAGTTCCTGTTATCCGCCTCATGATGACACTACTCTGCGTTATTCATCTGGCGGGGTTTGATGCGTGATTTCATCATTGGGATTTCGCCCGCGTTGTTGCCATGTACCGGCTTAAGAATTAGAATAAGAAGGTACCCGGGGTTTGGATCTCTGATTCATCCATGTAGATCAGGATCAGGATCAGTCAGGGTAACTTGTACTGTCTTCAGTATGATGTCATAAATCAACAGCGTGGCCGCGCCTCATGCCTCGGTTGGCATCTGCATCTGGGTTACAGAATTGAAGGCAATAGTTTGAGCTCGGAGATTATTCGAAACGAAATCTGGGTACTGGGTAGCACTATAGAACTCTACCATTCAGGGCTTGCTTGTATCCAAGTCATGTGGCGCCATAGATGCACATGACTAGCACACATGATTCCGGGGGTGGAGTCGTTTACGTGCCGACATCTTTCTACATATCATTCTCGCTCCCTGAATCCAAGATCCATGGATTTCTTTTCTTACAATCTTCATCTGGATATATTACCGGTCAGCAATCGCCCCAAATATCAGCGATCTTCCTCCCCAGTGCCAAAGCCGTTTCAGCCAATGACGTAGTCCGCTCCTCCGATTCGAACGGGTGTGGGGGTGATGATTTTTTACTCCTAAAACGCCCGACATCTCCATTTTGGGAACATTGGTCTCCTCTCCGGCCACCCCCGAGTCGTGGGGCGACGAAAACCCTTCACTGTGGACTGTGGCTAGGGGGCAAGTAACAGATCAAGACTAAGCACATCAAACTCCAGATGATTTCATGTGTATGGAACCTACAATCCATGCTTCAATTCGTCTCGCTTGACCTTCCCTCCGGACGGAATAAGGAAAGCTACATTCATGCAGAGTCACTTTTAGTTCACCAAAATCTACAGTATAAATACACTGTGCGCTCATTCAAGCCACCTCCAGCATCCACCTTCTAAGTCTAGCTTAGGGCTTTCATTTTGGCCAGAAGAGTCTCCTCGATCTCAGCTTTCGACGACAGTGGATATATCTAATGGGTCAAGCGATAAGGCCCTCTGATTCGCCTACATTTCTCGTCCCGTGGTCTCGTCTCACCGGTACAGAACAGTTTTCCATTGAGACTGTATCGCAGTGACAGTTCAAGAGCTCCACATTGCTTCTTTGGGAGTTGACACAACGCGTGTTATGAAATCGGACTCCCACAGACCACTTTCGATGAACAGGGTTAGAGGCATGTATCGCCGTGGGACTGATAGGCACGCTATACGCTTCTTGTTGTGGCATTGACGCCTAACTGGTTTCCCGAGTTTGGTGTGTGCGCCCGACGAGAGGTATCGGCAAGCCGATGCAGCTCAGCTTGCAGCATGTCAATCATGCGAGATTATCATCTCTAGGCACGGCAAGGGGTGCTGAGTTTTTATTGACAGATCTCACTCATATGCATTTAGTACTGTACACTGTCTTTGGCCACATGTTCTCAACCTGATGGCGATTCGGACGGCCACTCCGAAGCTTGACACGCAAGAATCCTCGTCGACTGACCCTTGATCGCCCTCCACTGCACCAGGGATCGGCCAAATAAGACCCATACTAGCCTTGGGCCTTAACAGATCTAGAGCTGACCCGTTTTCATGCGTGCTGCAGTCATAATTTAGGGCTGGGCACACCTTCCTTTACTGGTGGATTTTTCTTCGACTCAGGGGGATCTACTATAAAACGCACATGACCATAGATATGCAGTTCGCTCTTGTTTGCCTTTTTCGCAAGACTGCACATTATCACTCGCTATGTGGCTGTCACTGTGCGTCATCTGCGACATGTTAAGTATATCTATACTCGGCGAAATCCCGAGTGAGGCGTTCGGGATCGGACAGGATCCAATCTATACCTGTTTCCCAGGACTCGAACAGGAAAAGTGCGGTGACTCACGAGTAAAAACAACATTATCATAACTATTACCAAGCTCATGATTGGCCGGTCTTTATTCTAGGCCTTCCGGTGGGTGGATATTATCACGTGGAACAGCTTCCGGGGAGCTCAGTACTCCGAAACCCCGCAAGATGTCAAAGATTTTGTCAATTCGGTCAATTCGGTCAATGTACCATAATGACATATGTAAATAAGCCCGGTAACAATATCCCGATATTTCGAAATAGAACTGCCGATATATTCCCGAAAAAAGCAAGCGAAGTTTCAAGTCCATGGTCAAGTTCTAGAAGGCTTCTGGAAGGTCGATCCGGTTGGCCGGCGAATTCAAGGTCCGATTCGCGCTTTTCCGCTTTCGGTGTATCCCTAATACTGATACAATACAGTACCCCAATACAGAGTCCTCCGTACACTGGCTCAAATGTTCCGGGAGCGGAGTCTGGAAATACATAAATATACGGAGTACAATATAATTAAGGACTCGCTTTGGATTCGTTTGGACGTTTGCAATATATAACTCGATAGCTCCAAACACTCTACCTCAAAATTCGAGGTTCATAATCTTGTGACACAAGCCTTCCCCGACCGTCTGGGTTGGATACCGTTGTTCAACTAGTGGAAGCCACAGGCGCGGTTTAATCCGCGGAATACAGGAGCAAGTGACCTCGCGAAAACCGTTTCCTGCAATCAGACCTGGGACCTTGTTGTGGCGTTGGTATAGAGTGTTTGTCGTTTCATGCCGGGTCTACATCTGTACTCCGACGGGACCACTTTCCGCCCTTTCCGTAGCGCCTTACTTACACCTTACACCTTACAACTCTCAAATGTCGGGGTAAAGACGGAGAAACTATGTGAGAGTCCATGTGTGGGTATTCGGTGAAGATTCTGTATACAATGACTTCATATGTCAATCTAAGTCATTCTAGCAGACAGGCATTACGGAGTAGACAAAAGAATACATGTACAAAGCTGTGGATCTATGTTGCATCCCGACTAAACGCGTACCCCAACCCCTAGCAGGGATGCGGAATTCTAGAAAAACGAACCCCTCATCTTCTCCGCGTAGCGCGGACCGACCGAATCCCGTGACTGGCAGATAGCTTACGTCGGGTGGTATTACTCTTGCATGTTTATATGAGCTTTTCTCATGGCTCGGAGTATGGGTTACTTGGGCTGGGGATATCCCCCGGTTACTTTGATCCCCCTTACCCCTTGACTGCCATGGCTGCTGGCAGGAGATACGACGGGATGTTTGCCATAGATCGAAATCCTGTTTCCTCTTGATTGTTCTCTGCATGCAATGGTGACGTGCAGGTTCGTTGTTGCCAATCAATCCCTGGAATTTGGGGTTCTGTGTGTCTATCTGCTTTCCTGTTATGGCTTGGGGCAGATAAGATGCCACAATACTGGTTTAATCCTAGGACTTAGACTTGGTGTCATAGACAAATCTTAATTTAAGCATGATACCTTTTCCAAGGTTGGAACTATGCAGATGTTGGCTGGACGGTTCTACCTGCACCAATCATGCACCGAGCGAGGATCTGTAGTTCTTCATGGTCAATGTAGTTCTGAATATGTCTTGCCACCATGACTCACGCGTGTGTCACTGTGAATAACTCTGCTCTGTAGAAAGGTGAGTCAACTCGAATCATCGAATGAGATCATCTTCCCCACCAAAATGTCTTGGCATGAAAACTGTCAACACTACATCTGAATATTGGTATAACTTCATCTTTACCAGCTCCACCAGCCTCTGCCATATTCCTATAGAATCACGTGGCACTTCCCTCTCTCAACTTCGTGCCTTGATTTCTGCTTAGTGCCAACATTACCGTTCCTCTCACGTCGCGCATCTCGGCTTACTTACTGTGCAGATCTGGTCCTGTCGATCTCTTCCAAGGTCACCCGATCTCTGCGCTGGCACGCACGTCACCTCTCATTCTGGATCATCTCACATCTCAACGAGGCTCATTATGGGGAATGGGTCATTTGACGAGGGTCCAGCACCTCAGGTCCTAGGTGAGTGTTCTATTATTGGCTTTGTGAAGCCCGGAGGCTTTTGATCCCAATCAATTCCTTGAGATCTACTTGGGCGGTTGTCTCGGCCCTCCACACAGCCTTTCTTTTTCGTATTTCAAGCCCCCTTGTTGCATGTCCATGCACATGTTGCATCCGCCACACGGCCTGTCATGCCTATCTTTCTGGCCCATGGCCTATCTCTGAGGCACTTGTCTGGCGTGCAGGGGCTTCTCCTTGCCAATGCTGAGGATCGGACCTGGCGGCCCGCAACCTTTTTGATCACACGCTCATATTCATCTTCTGAATAGGTACAGAGCCTTCAACAACTGCTGAGTTGTCAGCGGCCCGGTCGCATGGCGTTGCATCTGAGTCGAGTACTCGCCCGTCCAAGCGAGCTAAATGTCGGTTTTTCAAATCCAAAAAAAGTATGTACACGTTCTGAGTTTAGTCTTTGGGGGCTTCTTGTCTATTTGGTCCTTGCAATACTCGACGCGTCATTGAACAGGGCGTGGTATTTTCGGTGCCACAAACAGGCCCTTTTGCGAACGCCTGTTTACAGTATCTGTTATGTTTCCCCAATGGGAATGCTGAGGCCATGGCCAGTATTGCGTAACTTGCTTGTGCCCTAACAATTTGTACCTGTGTTCATGGGCCATATTGATATGTAGCGATGCGTTGTTCAAGTCAGATGCTAACGTCTATTTAGGATGCCGGCTTGGATCAACTTGTCCATACCTTCATGATGCCTCGGCTCTAGAGTCTAATCGGACTCCGTCGGAACATCAGACACCCACTCAACCTTTGGGTGGTGATACTGAAACTCCAGTCCAGGAGATAGTCGCCGATGCCCAGAAGCTGAAAATCGGTGGAAAGTCGAAGAGCTCTGCCGCTTCGGCACCAGGCCAGCCCCAAAGACCGGTTTCCAAACTGGAGCAATCAGACCCAAGAGAGTTCCAGATCAACCAATTGAGGCGGCGTTACCGCCCACAGGAGACCAATGACGGCCGAGGCTCTATCTTGACCTTTGGATTGGTTCCCTCGGATCCTGATTTCCCATTCGAGCTGGAGAGACTTCAATGTGTTCTTCATGTCCCGAGCTCGTATCCCAATGGGCGGCCTACGCTTACAGTGACCAATTCTGAAATGGAAGCTGCATATCAAGCCAATATTGCGAGGGGATTTGACGATATTGTCGATTTCACAATCCGAACCAATAACCGGGGAACACTACTAACCTGGCTGAACAGCTTGGACAAGCAGCTTGAGAAGCTGCTGACTAGCCTGGAGCGCGGGCCAACGCTGAAGTTCTTCTCGAACGTCGGTGATGCCACTGCTACAAAAGAACCCACAAAGGGCCCAGAAAAAACTTCAGATCAGAGCTCATCGCAGGTAAACGCGAAAGCATCAACTGTTCGTGCTAAAAAGCCGACTGTGGCACCACAAGCACGAAATACAGCTCCCAAACTCTCGGCCGAGGCGAAAGCTGCGGCTGAGAAGAGGCGAGCACTCGAGACAAAACAACTCGAGGCACGTCTTGGGAGGATTCCTATGTTCCAAAAGATGCAAGATGGGAGAACATTCATTATTCCTGTCCAGCCAATTAAAAAAGATGGTCTTCCTAGAGCACTTCAGGCACTCAAGACTGTGAAGCTGCATGTTCCAACCCTCTACCCGCTCGAGCACAGCTCGATTATACTGCAGGGAGTCGATGGCCCAGAGGCGAAAGCTACAGAGACAGGATTCTCGCAATGGGTTGAACAGACCTCGCAGCTGAATCTGGTTTCCCAGATCAACTACCTGGCAAGCAACATGCACAAATTCGCTGAAACACCTCTGCCAGGAGAGGAAGAGCCCGGTGAAGCTATTTCTTCTACCGCCGAAGAAGAGGAAGACGAAGTGGAAGAGCTCACACAAGCTGAGCCTTCAACCCAAGACTCAGAAGATCGACCCCATCTCCATGTCATTCCTCGGCCACCAGAGTGGTCAGTCCCAGACCCGCACAGTGGCGCCGAGGAAACAACAGATGAATCAAGCTATGAAGAAGACGAGTACTCAGAGGAAGAGGAAGACGAGGAAGGAGGCGCGCCTGTACCCCCATCACTGGATACCAGCACGCCCGGACGAGGTGTCGCGCTTTCATTCCCATTCCTGGAGCTTTATGGCATCGAGTTGTTGGAGCTCACTACTCTCAATATTACCGTGAAGTGCGATCGATGCAAGACTTCTGCTGATATAAAGAATGTGCCTCATGTTAGCGATGAGAAGGGCGCGATGCCAAAAATGGAATCTTGCAAGAAGTGTGCTAATAATATGAGTGTTGGTGAGTTTGGTATTCTTTACTTATTGCTTTTGTGATGCTAATTGGCGGTGATGCAGCGTTCCGGAGACAGTTGATGCACACTCATGCCAATCGCGCTGGTTATTTGGATATGGATGGCTGTACTATTGGCGACATGCTGCTAAGGTAGGTTCTTTCGTCGCAACTTACCAGAGGATCTCGGTTGACTCGCTCTATTTCAGTAACTTCATCCCAACATGTGCAGAATGCTCAACCGCACATCCAGCACCTGGTGTATCTGCCGTTCGCGGAGAGAGTGCCATGGCCATTTGCCGGGATTGCCATCGCAAGATGGTCTTCAAGATCCCCGAAGTGAAGTTCCTGCTCGTGGGAAGTGCAGCCAGTAAGCTATAACTACCGGATATGCGAGATCCAGCTTTACTAAGTACTATACCATCTAGTCTCTGCTCACGGCGCTCTCCCTCTCAAAAGAAAGGTTCGTTACCCTATACTATCTCGATTGGCCAATATCTAACCGTATAACCAGCCCAAGGAAGTCCTCGGTATCGTCGCAGGACAAGAACTCCCCAGACGTGGTCGCTGCCAGCACTATGCCAAAAGCCAACGCTGGTTCAGATTCAGCTGCTGCGCAAAAGTTTTCCCATGCGATAAGTACGTTCCACTCCATATCCCGCTTCTTCCATTTCTTCTCCCCTCCCTCGCAACAAACATACTCATCAAATATACCCAGATGCCACGACGCCGAAACCGACCATCCAAATGAACACGCAAACCGCATGATCTGCGGTTACTGTTCACGAGAACAAGTCTACAGACCTGAGAACTGTGGAATCTGTAAAGCGATTCTCATTGGAAAGGCTGGTAGTGGGTTCTGGGAGGGCGGAAAGGGAACGAGGAATCGGGCTCTGATGAGTCGGAAAGGTATGTTTCCTTTGTTCATGTTATGGTGTTTTGGTTTTCTAATGGCATGGCAGATCCTCGGAAGTTTAAGAGAAGGGGTGGGAATGCTCCAACTTCGAGTTCGTCGAAGAGGAAGTAGAGGTGTTGTATTATGTATTGACATTGCGTTGCATAGCATTGCGAAGGGAAATACAAAGAAAGAAAGAAAAAGCATAATATAGAGTAGATATCATTAGTCCCCAGGGCAAATGTGGTCACTTTTACATATTGGAGTTTCCAAAGTAATATAAAACGAAAAGATATTACGGATAGATACTGAGAATACTTCACGAAAAGGGTGTTTGTCAAGGTATATTGCACTCTATGTTGGATAGTCATATCATGATTGTTTTGGTGAAGATTTCAAATGATCTGTGAACTAAGGATCGCTAAATGTACAAATGCAGGTGGCTCAACCGCAATAGCCTGGCAAGAATCGAAAATGTATCCAAGGAGCCCTCGCTGGCATATTTCTTTTTCTCTTTCTCTTTCTGTCCTTAAACAAGGTTACCACGAAGCTCCTGCTCCCTCTCAATAGCCTCAAACAAAGACTTGAAGTTCCCAGCACCGAAGCCCTCAAAATTATGTCTCTGAATAATCTCAATGAAAACAGTAGGACGATCCATCAAGTGCTAAAAAGGCAAGTCAGCATACAATCAATCACAATCCCAACCTCCAAACCAATTGATGTCCACATACCTTAGTAAAAAGCTGAAGCAGATAACCCCCCTCATCGAAATCAATCAAGATATCCAGACTGCGAATGGTCTCGAAATCCTCCTTGAGCACTAGTCCAGACTTCTTCAACCGGGCCTGCATATCCGTATAATACGTCTCAGGAACCTTAATAAACTCGACGCCGCGCTCTTTGAGGTTTGTAATGTCGCGGATGATATCATCTGTTTGCAAGGCGATGTGCTGCACACCGGCGCCGTTGTAGAAGTCGACGTATTCTTCGATTTGGGATTGTTTCTTGCCCTTTGCTGGTTCGTTGATGGGCATTTTGACGACTTCGTTTGGAGAGGCCATGACGATAGACTTTAGGGCGGAGAATTCGCTGTGCGGGTAGTGTTAGTTGGGCGTGGGTGAGGGTAGATAGGGATGGAATTGAAGTACTTACGTGCAGATTTGGCTATCGTCCACAGACCAGAAACGGTGGAAGCCGAGGGCTTTTTCGTAGCTAGAGAGCAAGTGTTAGCAGGTTTCCAAGTTGGGATGATGGTATATAACTTACTACTCGCAAATCTGATCCATCTCATCCCAATCCTGGTTTCCAACACAGTGATCAATCTTGGAGAGGTGAACACCAGGCAAGAACTTTGCCAGAGGGTCAACAATTCCTGTATCATCGCGATACCCAGGCAAAAAGGTACCATGGTACTGATTCCGCTCAATAAGCGTATGCGTAGTCTGACCATAAGTCTGGATAGTAGCAACCTTGACATGGCCATCCTTATCCTCCAGAATCTTAGGGTTAGAAACGACCTTAGCGCCGTTCTTCACAGCAGCGTTGAAAACAGCGTCGACATCATCAACCTCGAAAGCAACATCTTTGACTGCATCGCCGTGCTTCTCGAAATGACCGTGGATCTCTCGCAGCTCGGCCTGTTCTTCGGTGCTGAAACGGTCGGCTTGCTCCAAAGAGCGGAGCGGTGAAGTCAGGATGAAGGTCACGTTGCCGTTGCCGACTACGTGTGAGCAGACGGTGCGGCTGCCGGTTTCAAGGCCGCGGTAGGCGATTCGCTTGAATCCCATTCGGGTTACATAGTAGCTTGCTGCTTGCTTGGCGTTGCCCACGTACCAGTGTACATGGTCGTAGCCGCGGTAGGTGGCTAGCGAGGATGTACCGCTTGTTGATGGAGGGGGGCTGCTTGAGATTGCTGAAGGTGCCATTTTGATCTTTTATAGATGTGGTGTGAGATGGATGGTTTCTTGTGAAGATAGAAGTAGAAGCAGAAGTAGTTAAAGTAGAGGTTGAGTTGATATAAATTATTCGACGCCACCCTTGCTTTTAAATCATAATCGACCTCTGGTAACCGTGAGTTACGCTCGGATATCTATTCAGTCCCTTGAAGCTATGGCGTAGGCTCTGGGTGGCGGTTATTGCAGGATCCTGGAGTAGCCTGAAATAGCCGGGCCTGGCATCAATATCCGCACTTCACACCTCTCAGCTGGAATTTTGAAAGCTTCCTTCCCAAATTTGATCTTGTTTTCTCTTTCAATTATTAGAAAATCTCAAGTCTCATCTCTCAGTATATCGGAAGTACAAATTACCAACTGCAACATGACGAGCATCGCATCCGCCCGGCCATCATTAACATCTAATGATTCGGCTGTACTTCAAGCACTTTTCGATGCCGAATCTTCTCCATCATCAGGAATCACAGTCGATCCATCCCTTCCCTCATGGCCGTCCTCTTTGAAGATCTCCCAAGAAGATCTATCATCGCTCAGCCAGCGCGAAACAGAAATAATCCGCAAACTACAAGCAGATGAACCACCGAGCGAAGAAACAGTCAAGTCCGCACTAAACGACTTCGACACACTCCTCAGTCAATATCCAACATATCCCTCCGCATATACAAATCGAGCACAGACACTCCGTCTCTTGATCGATATCATCCACAACAACCACGAAAGCAAGTCGGATAATGTTCAAGGTTCAATCTCTGAACTAGACGATGCAGCCCTCTTCTCGCCTCAAACCTCGGAACTATCATCTCGCATTTTTTCCGATCTAGGCCAAGCAATCAATCTCGCTACGCCTGCCTCCCCCGCTGATGCTGTATCATCTGCCCAAGCACGGCTCTTGGCTGATGCACACACGCACCGGGGCTATTTACTTCTCAAAGCTGCGCGAGGTAAAAAGGCCCAGTCTGATGAAGATGGGTCGGATATGTCGGGCCCGGAGCGGTTGAGAGGACTTGGGGCTGATCAGCTTGAAGAGATGGCTAGTCGGGATTTCTTCTTTGGTGGCCGCTATGGGAATAAAGTTGCGCAGCAGCTTTCTGTGCAGACGAATCCTTATGCAAAGATGTGTGGAGCTATTGTTAAGGAGGCGATGAGGAAGGAGGTTGAGGGGTGAATCAATGAAATAGTATATACATGATTTGTGTCTTGGGCAGATAAAACAACAAAATGGACAATTGATTGGAAACTAATGTCATACTGTAGCTATCTGCAAAGTATTCACATAATCTCGTCATCATAGCTCTCGAGTACACACTCCAATCTAAGACTTTTTGTTAGGGTTGACAAAGTGCCTCTTCAAGGGCTTCCAGCTGTGCTCATTGTATTCCTCCTGCACCTTCTGGCAAGTTTTCAGGCCCCATTCCGAGACACCGACCATTAAAGAACTAAATTAATTGTCAGCAATCAAAGTAACCAAGCATTAGAGTTCAAAGCTCACCTCTCAAACATGAAAGCCATACTTCCATCACCAACCTTCTGCGGCTTCAGCTCAGCATTACTGGCGCCCTCAAAAGCACCTGAGTCAGGACCATGTGCACTCATAACATTATGCAGACTAGCCCCAGCAGGCTGGAAACCACCACCAATTTTCGCATCATAGTTGCCAGCAATCAAACCCATGAACTCTGACATGGTGTTGCGGTGGTACCACGGCGGACGGAAGGTATTCTCTGCTACCAGCCAGCGAGGCGGGAAGATAACGAAATCAGCAATTGCTGTACCGACGTGGTCTGAAGGACCTGTCAATACAGTGAAAATAGAGGGGTCTGGGTGGTCGAATGAGATGGAGCCGATGGTATTGAATCGGCCCAGATCGTACTTGTAGGGGTAGTAATTGCCGTGCCATGCTACGACATCGAAGGGGGTGTGGTTCTGGCGCGCGGAGAAAAGAGTGTTATTAAACTTGCTGTAGAGCTTGTATTCGCTCTCCTCTTCGTCGTCAAAGTCAGCAACGGGGGCTTGGAAATCGCGCGCATTCGCCAAACAGTTGGAGCCGATGGGGCCAAGCTCGGGAAGCTCGTAGTGGCCTTGGTATAGTTCACAGATGTAGCCTCGGACAGGACCATCAGGGAGGGTTACGCGGTACCTGACACCGCGGGGAATGACACAGATCTCATTCGGGCGAAGGATAATGCGACCAAGCTCTGTCTGGATATCCAGGACACCGTGCTGGGGCACAATCAAGAAGTCTCCATCCGCGGAATAGAAAGCTTCCTTGCCCATATCCTTGCCTGCGGCATATAGCAAGATTCCCAATCCTTGCTTCATTGTCGGGTCGCCTGACCCAGCAACCAAATGCAGTCCGTGTACCCAATCGACCTTCTCATCGAGGTCGAATGGATTCCACCGCAATTGGTTAGGAATATGGTGAAGCTTATGGGTCTCGGTGGTCATGCGGGTGTGATATGAGTCGGCATCTTCCGCGAAGAAGTTCTCATGTGCCGCTGCTGGCAGGATGCGATACACCCATGTCTGTTTGTTTTCATGGCGAGGTGCTGTGAATGCAGTTCCCGAGAGTTTCTCTGCGTAGAGTCCATGCGGGGCCTTTTGTGGAGAATTCTGGCCGATTGGAAGAGCTCCCTCGACGGCTTCGGTCCTAGATATTTCGGTTAGTTCGCGTCATCCGTATACTTGGGGTATATGAACACGCACTCGTGGTACGAGCCGAAGCCCGTCTGGTACTTGTATGGATCGGGGTGGGCGAAGTTAGTGACAGGCATGATGGTTGATTTTGACTATGTGCAGTCCAGCTGTCTTTGTATAAAAAGACAACCGAGGAGCTCTTGAGCTCAAAACGTCAGAGCGGGAATCTTCGGCCGCGAGTATCCTTTCTCTTCCGCGGTTGGATGCGGGGGAGCGGGCTGATTCCGCACGCCCGGAACTGCGCGTCGAAGGGGCCAAACATCCGCATAGTTAAGACGAGGTTGCTTTGATCTTTTTCCTCTCTTTTCAACATTCCTCTCAGATATTTACCATGGCTTCTTGGCTCCAGATCCCCAAGAATTCGCCCTTTTCGCTGGCCAACATTCCGTTCGGCATCATCTCAGCGCAATCCGCTTCAAAAGTAGCCGCAATTGCCATCGGTGACCATGCACTGAACTTGAGCGCATTCGCCTCTTCAGGAGGTTTTTCTCAGCTTCCTGCAATTCAGCAACACTTGGCTGTCTTCAACCAGCCAACATTGAACGAGTTCGCTGCTCTGGGCCGCCCTGTGCACAAGCAGGTCCGCGAGTATTTACAGAACGTCTTCCGCGCCGACACACAATTCCCCCAAATCCTTAAGGACAATGCCTCTCTCCAGAAGTCAGCTCTGTTGCCTCTCTCTCAGGTAACCAACCACCTCCCCATGCAAATCGGAGACTACACCGATTTCTACGCCGGTCTGAACCATGCCTACAACATTGGAGTCCTTTTCCGTGGCCCAGACAATGCGCTCCAGCCCAACTACAAGCATCTGCCTGTAGCCTACCATGGCCGTGCCTCATCAGTTGTGGCCTCTGGCACACCCCTCCACCGTCCCCAGGGTCAAATCCTGGCCAACCCTACCGCCGACCCTAAGGTGCCTACCTTCTCCCCTTGCAAGCGTCTCGATATCGAGCTCGAGCTTGCCTGCTTCATCAGCAAGCCCAACGACCTCGGAAAGCCTGTTCCCATTAATGAGGCCGAGGACCATATCTTCGGTGTCGTTCTCATGAACGATTGGTCCGCCCGTGACATCCAGGCCTGGGAGTACGTCCCCCTCGGTCCCTTCAACGCGAAGAACTTCGGCACAACCATTACCCCCTGGGTGGTTCTCATTGATGCTCTGGAGCCCTTCCGAGCCGCTGGTCTGGAGCCTGGCAACCGCGAGACTCTCCTCCCCTACCTCCGCGAGAAGCGCGCCGAGAATGCCTACGAAATTCCCCTCGAAGTTGAGGTCACCAACCCCGGTGGTCAGCCTACCCTCATTTCTAAGAGCAATGCTCGCAATCTGCTCTACTCTTTCCCTCAGATGGTTGCTCACCACACTATCACCGGTTGCAACTTGCGTACTGGTGACTTGCTTGGATCAGGTACTATCTCTGGTACTGAGCCCAAGACCGAGGGTAGTTTCTTGGAACAGACCAATGGCAAGACCCCTATCAAGCTTGCGGATGGCTCTGAGCGTATGTTCCTCGAGGACGGCGACACTGTTACTCTGCGTGGTATGGCTGGCACGGAAGGCAACTATGTCGGTTTTGGCGACTGTGTTGGCACTATCCTGCCTGCCATCTCCCTGCAGTAAATGAACAAATTTCAAAAATGAAATAAGTAATGTTTTTGATTTTTATTCCATAGTCTCTAGACAGCTTGCAATAACAATTCTCGGGCTGCTATCAATGAAACAAACCGGCACAATCAAAAAGCCATAGTCCTAAAAGATAAACCCGAAACTTGACTTGACAATCCCATAAACCCCCACCTACTCCTTAACCCGAAACTCCTCAGGCGTATCCCCCTGTGTCCTCCAATGTCCTAATTTAACAGCCTCCTCAGCCTCCAGATTCCTCACAATCCCACTAATGACCGGAAACAACCCCAAATCCACCCCAACCCTCTCAGCACCCCAAGCAGCAGGAACCAAACACAAATCAGCCAGTGTAATCTGATCTCCAACACTAAACCTCCCAGCCGACCCCGCAACAACAGCCTCGTAAGCCCTCAACCCATCAACAATCAAGTCCTTCGACCAACCGTTCTTATCAGCACCCAGCGATCCAACCCGCCTCAAAATCCGCAGGTTTGTCACTGGCTGAATATCACACGCAATGATATTTGCCAGGGTACGCACTGTAGCGCGGGTTTCCGGGTCTGACGGGAGCAGCGCGGGTCCCTTTTCTGGGAAGGCTTCGTCTAGGTATTCCAGGGCGGCCAGGGATTGGTTTATTGTTACAGGTTTCTTAGTCTCGTGTTGGATCACTAGGGCTGGGACTGTGCCTGATGGGTTGATGGCCAAGTGGGCTGGGGTTGATTGCTCGTTTCGCAGAAGGTTCACGTATACCGGTGTATAGGGAATTCCTTTTAGGTGGAGGGCTATCCGGAGGCGGGCGGAGCAGGAGCTGCGGAAGTAGGTGTGTAGAGTGACTTTGCCGGGCATTGTGGGTGGTTTGTTCCTAGGAGAGGTCGATGGTGTGGCGTGGTAGATGTGGACGTGGATGTGGGTGTTGATGTTGGGATCTGGACGCACGGATGTAGTGCAGTGTTTCTAGGTGCGAAAAGGAGGACTACTGTTACATTATTACATTAAGTTATAGGAATCGCGGACCTTGTATCCCGTGGCATTTGAGGTGTTGGAATGTATAGTCCGGGGTCGCGGAATCAGTTCCGGGTGACGGCCGAGTCCAAGCGCTGCGGATTTCCGCTCTGTTCGTTTCTTTCTTGACTTCCTGTGGAGTAAGCTCGTCATATGCAGGTGATGTGAGGCAAGTGTGTAGTTCCCGGTCAATATCCTTGTCTAGCTACTAAGTATATGGTGTGCCCTTACTATGACTTGGTGCCATATAGATCAGGCATGATCTAGGCTACCTACCTATCTTACATTGCTGACTATGCTAGTATCGAGAATTCTCATGTTTGACATTCCTTGGTCTGTTCAAGCTCCCGTTTTATACTTTGGTCTCTATTGTGTCCGTTGGTGCTGGCAGTGCAGCCTATCAAATCAAAGGCAACATAAAGTTATGCCATATGTCACGGAAAAGACATCGTACTTCCCAATTACTAAAAATCATAGCTAGCTGATTACACAGATCGTCACTAATATGATTGAATTAATCAAATTTCCCCATTAGCTCAAGGTCCGATCCTGACACACTACAATAGTTAGCACAATTAGCGCGGGACGGATATCGCCGGCTATTTCGGCGCTCGCAGCCATCTTCCATACCCTGCGATTATCCATCACCAAATATCCACAGCATCCACTAGAGCAGGAAACTACTGTTTCATCCGCTCAGGAACGGTTGAAGATGGATGGGATCAGGCCATCCCGGTCGAGCCGGCCGTACCAGCGCACTTACAAGGCATGCATCCCTTGCCGGCAACGCAAGGCCAAATGCGACCTAGGATCAGGAACCGAAGGCCGGACCGATGGCTTCCCGATCGGTCCACCATGTGTACGGTGCCGCAGGGAGCTGAGGGAGTGTGTGTTCCCTGAGAAGCGCGCGTGGGAGAGGTCCCGCAAACGAGGTGCGCTAGATTTCATTCTCTGCTGACCATACTTGAATTGGGCGTTGTCTGACTGGTCAATGTTCTAGCTCGATCATCTGCGGACTATGAGACCGATGCCTCTCCCCGGCAGGTCGGTCATTTGATGGCGAGCTCACCTGAGGGTGCTGCTTCTGTTCAGGTTCGAACTGACCAGTATCCACCCACGGTCGACAGAGCCAATTCGAAGCCACAGACGAACCACTTTCAACATTCGCCTGGTTTCCAACCTGGATGGTCTGTTCACCGTGGTCAATCGCGGTCTCAATATGGCTCGTATGATCATGGCGGGGCTATGGAGCGGCCACGCGGTGATCAAACTGATCAATCGCCCTCTGGTACATATGAAAACAACAAGCACCGGTCTAATTCTTCGCTGTCAAACTCTATGATGCGGACTGTTGTTGCGAGCGGGAATGATGCATTGAATATTCTGTTTGAGGCGGCAACTGCTCAAGAAGATAACCCTGCCGATACGAGTTCGGAATCACTGGCTGGGCCTCCGTCGGCAGGGCCGAATACTCAAGACCGAACGCCCAGGAATTATGATGCTGCGTTTGACCCTGTGACCCGTGTTATATACCCTGTGCAGCTATCTGATGCCTCGCGGGATACTCTCAATGTCTGGGAGGCTTGTCGGTTTGTTAAGATGGGTTGGTTTACTGCCAGGGAAGCTGTTACGTTTATTGATTTGTGAGTCTCCTGCATGAAAGACAACGTCTTCGAATTTAGAAGTCTGTTGGTTCTTTGATCTAGTGTCCATAAGAGATTACTTATGTGCCCTGTGATTCTGGTACATCACGACTAACTGATATCAGATTCTTCAAGAACATGTCATGTCTATCTCCAATCCTAACGGACTTCTATGCCAATCATCGATATCACTACTGGCTGATTACCCGAGAGCCAGTCTTGTGCTGTACTATACTCATGATATCCTCTCGCTACCACGTACTCCCTGGAGCTGGGGGTGAATCAAGAAACTTTTTCATCCACCACCGACTCTGGCTACATTGCCAGCAGTTGACGATGAGGCTCATCTTCGGACAGGAGAAAGCCACCAAGTCCAAAATTCGAAGTCTTGGTACTGTGGAGGCACTACTGTTGATGTCAGAATGGCATCCTCGCTCGCTTCATTTTCCACCAGATACAGATGGCTGGGACGATGACTTGATCCCGCCAGCTCCTAATACTCATGAACAGAATGATCAACCTGCCAATCGCTGGGTCGAAGATATGATTGAGCCAGCACGCCGATCTGATCAGATGTCCTGGATGTTACTGGGATGTGCTCTCTCTCTTGCACACGAGCTAGGCATCTTCGAGACCGAGGAGAGTAGCTCGCCAGCAGAAGAGCCAGAATGGCGAGATCAAATGACGCTTCGTTGGCAACGTGTACAGCGTCTGTTATACGTTTACATCAATCAATTAGCCTGGCGGATCGGATGCATGTCTCCAATCCCCCAGTCATTGAATCACGCTATTCTTGGTGGACGAAAACCACAGGGACTAAGCCAGCCTGGCAGCACTTGGTTGACATTTATGGATTCATGGATTGAATTGACCAAGCTAGCTAAATCTGTCACTGACATGTTCTTTCCGTCTGCTGCATTTGCTCGGCAACAACTGCATAGCGGCCGTTATGTCGGTCTACTAGAGCATTTCCGGCCTCTCCTCAACCAATGGAAAGACAGGTATCTGCAGGTGGAAGTCCTTGACAAGGCATTCTACAATGATCTGTTCATCGAATACCACTTCGTGCGGGTGTACACTCATTCCGTGGGGATGCAGGCAGTGGTAGAGCGAGCCGTGGCAGAAAACGATCCCAACAATTTCGACGAAGTGCGACCTATGGCGATCGACCCAACAGATTACGAATATATCCAAGAGGTGATTGAGGGGTGTTGCCAGATCTTGCAGAAAGTCACCCATCTAGCCGATGCAGGTGCACTGCGATTCTCGCCGGTGCGGATTGTCCTGCGTATCACCAGTGCCTCGATCTTCTTGATGAAAGCGCTCAGTCTGGGTACTCGGCATGCGAAGCTTCAAGAGTCGCTTCAGATACTGGAGAAAAGTATCAAAGCACTCAAGTCGAATGCATTGGATGATGTGCATCTGAGCACTCGTTATGCCACCCTGCTGGACATGCACGTCTCGCGGTTACGGCGTAATCTGCTGGCGTCATCGAAGGCGAGGAAGAATAGTCGAGGCAACACGCGACGGTCATCTATGGGCCCTCCTCCTTGGCCTGACGCAAGCGATCGGTCCAATACTATGAACACCCCCGTATCGCAGGACCTGACGTCCGATCTGGGCTTCATGCCGTCCATGAACGATGTCGGTGCTGATGATTGGCTGTCGCTGCCTTTTGATCCTTCAATGGCGCCTTTTGGTATGAGCAATGGAGGGCAATTCCCGATGTATGAAGGTGGAGCGTTGGACTTTATCTGGAATCTGCCATCGTAAGCTCATCTGTATGGTTAGCTGCGTACATAGCCCTGGAAATGAAGTATACCCCAGGAGGGACCTAAGAGCAAAGATAAAAATAACATAATGCAGAGTGAAAAGTTTCTTATCCCTGCAGCGGCATTTCTTTTCCGAGCCTCAATATCATAGGCTCGGAAGTCAATGTCAAGGAACAAAATCCCAGAATTCCTGAAGCTCCCGATGATTCGGTGGCGAACGGAATGCACGTGACCTGGGGTCACGTTTCCGCCAAACGAAAAGTTCAACTCTTCCCCGACTTCTTATCGTTTATTAAGTGACGCCCCCTTCGTCTGGCATTTCTCATTGCCATCAATATCCACCCTCCAGATCCACTCTCGAACATTCAGTCTGTACACTTTTGACTGATCAGCTGGGTCTCCCTTGGTCGACACCTCGCGACCAAACAAACATCCTCATAACCCGACTCATCCGATAATCATCCTCCCTTCTATACAATGGATCACTCGAGAGATCCCTGCCCATGGGTCGCGCTGAGCGACTTCGGTGGTGCCTTCTGTATGGGTGTACGTCTTGCCAGATCATCAACTCGTCAACCATCCGCATCAAGACAGATCAACTAATCATCTCTTTCTATACAACAGGCTATCGGTGGTGCTGTCTGGCACGGTGTCAAAGGTTTCCGCAACAGCCCCTACGGTGAGCGCCGGATAGGTGCTCTCACAGCCATCAAGGCACGCGCCCCGGTTCTCGGTGGTAACTTCGGTGTCTGGGGTGGTCTCTTCTCAACCTTCGACTGTGCCATCAAGGGCATCCGCAAGAAGGAAGATCCTTACAATGCCATTATCGCCGGTTTCTTCACCGGTGGTTCTCTGGCTGTCCGAGGAGGTGTCAAGGCTGCCCGCAACTCCGCTATTATGTGTGCCGTCTTCCTGGCCGTCATCGAAGGTGTCGGTATCGGATTCCAGCGAATGATGGCCGACAACACAAAACTCGAGCTTCCTCCTCCTCCCCCCTCCGAGCAAAAGGCTCTTGCTTAAATTTCTCTCCCCCCGACCACTGCGCCCGCGCAATCCGACTCACTCCTCCGGTGGACTACGATCCACCTCCTTTTCCGATCTCTTGTCTTTATAACACATCTCACATTGAGTCTCTCTCCTCAGGTGTTTGGTTTGGGTCATCATCATTAAACGACATGGCATAGAGGTTCTTGGCTTCCTTTTTTTTTCTGTTTTAGCTTGCACTTCATACCACCCTTCCACTGTCTATGTCTTTGGAACTGTATTTTATGGATGGCGGGCTCGTTCTACGGCCAGTTCCTAGCATTGCCGTGTGTCTTCTCGGGCCAATTTGGCTTTCAAAAGGAAATCCTCTACTCCTGCAAAAGCGTCGGGATGGTGACGGATACTTGTACATTAACGCACAGCTACCAGGCATAATACGCAACTTCACTTTCAAATGTTCACATATTGATCCCTTTTTTCAGAATATTGATGAGACACAGACTCAAAGTAGGATTCGAACTTGGACTTTGATGAGTATGGGATGCAGGGTCACTTTACTGACTTGCAGTGGTATCTCCGCTCTCTTTCCCCCGCACCAAACCACCAACCTCCATTGCATTCTATAACCAGCAATGACAGCACCAGCACTAGCCACATTCAAACCAACCTTAATTATCCACGGCGGCGCAGGAAATATCCAACGCTCCAAACTCCCCCCAGACCTCTACGCCAGCTACCACGCCTCCCTCCAATCCTACCTCCGCTCAACACACGCCCTCCTCAGAAATGGCACAACAGCCATAGATGCAGCGGTACACGCCGTCTCCCTCCTAGAAGACGACCCACTCTTCAACTGCGGCCGCGGCAGCGTCTTCACGACAGCGGGAACAATTGAAATGGAAGCCTCGATAATGGTAACATCCGTCCAAGCCCCCAACGAAAGCGACCCCGGCGCAATAAAGCGCGGCGCAGGCGTAATGGGCATCCGGAACGTGCGCCACCCAATCCGTCTGGCGCGCGAATCACTTCTCAGAACGGGCGTTACGGCGGATGGGGGCAGTATGCATTCGCAGCTTGCGGGTCCGCATGTGGAGAGTCTTGCGCGAGACTGGGGACTGGAGTTCAAGCCTGATGAGTGGTTTTGGACCAGGAAGCGGTGGGATGAACATCAGCGTGGTCTGAGGGGCGAGGAGGAACCGCTGTTTTTGAGTCAGGGGACTGTTGGGTGTGTTTGTTTGGATCAGTGGGGTGGGTTGGCTGTTGCTACTAGTACCGGTGGGTTGACGAATAAGTTGCCTGGAAGGATTGGGGATACGCCGACTCTGGGTGCTGGGTTTTGGGCCGAGGCTTGGGATGAATTGTTGAGTGGTGGCGGTGGTGGTGTTGGTGTTTCGGGGCCAGATGCTTCTTTCTCGGTCCGTGGCTTGTTGCAAGGTGCGCAGAGCTGGATGGCGGATTGTATGCCGCAGCTTGTGCGCGAACTGGGTCCACCTGCTTACTCGTCCCTTTCGCTTGTTGGTCGGCCTTGCAGTATTGGTAGTACTCGGCGTGCAATTGCTGTCTCTGGGACTGGGAATGGAGACTCATTCTTGCGTGTTGCGGCTGCGCGCACGGCTGCTGCTATGATGCGGTTTTCTGGGCCGGGCTATTATCCTTCTACACTTGCTGATGCGGTGTCGGCTGTCGCCGGCCCTGGTGGTGAGCTGCAGCGTTCGGCTGGTTCGAGGTGGCTCGAGACTGGCGAAGGCGAGGGTGGTATCATTGGGATTGAAGCAGAACTTGCTGTTAATGGGGCTTTAGATGTTAAGTTGCACCGCGGCAAGGTTGTGTTTGACTTCAATTGTGGTGGAATGTGGCGCGCCTGGGTAGAGGAGGATGATTCTGGCAAGGAAGTCGAGAGGATCATGGTCTTTCGAGAAGATTACCAATAAGTACAGGTACAGAGTAGACGATTCGAGCTTTAATTTACACCAGATAGAGCCCTATCAGCTGCCAGACCTTTGCCCTTCCAAATAAGTCAATTTTGTTGTTTGCCTCACAATGTAGTCACGCTCGTAGATATATATATGTACGCCGTCCCCTCTCGCTTCACTCCTGTCATATGATTTAAATCGACTTACAGTTACTATTCACTACCAGCACCTGATGTAATATTGACCAATTATTATTATTCAAAAAAAGTAATCACCTATTTAACTAACCCGCTTGCTTCTCCTCGCTATTTAGATGATGCAGTGGTATGCAGCTTACTGTAGCTCCACACCGCCAAGGCCGCAAACCCTATAAAAGGATCCAATCCCCACTGTAGCGGAGAACAACAAGCAAATTTCAAAAACCAAAAAAGAAACTCCGATAGGGGGAATCGAACCCCCGGCTGTCGTGTGAGAGACGACGATGTTAGCCACTACACCATATCGGATCTTGGATGAATATTTTCACAGAGTTTGACATTATAACCCAGTTGACTTAGTGCAAGTGGGACAGCAAGGCAAACCAATATATGTTTCGAGCCCTTAAGAACAGCATATGGGTTGTGTGTATCGGATTGGTGCAATCCTACAAGAGGAAACCTCACTGATCATGCGCCAATATACACTCATTCCAAATTGGCAACCCACCCATCACCAAGTATTGCCTCAATGTGGTGCCAATGGCTTCTTCATCAAGTCAATTTAGCAGGGCTGCTTGGACTGATTCACTTCAGCGGACGACAAGAGTGATATGGACGAGTACTGTAACAGTGTTCAATTTTTTGGTCGTAACGCATACATTTTGACTGGTAAGAGTTTATATTGCTTCGGAAATCCAGTTTGCATCTCGGACTTGACCACGTCCATGCCAGCGGCATTGAAAATCTCCTTAAACTTCGAATCCATCCTTGTGACACTGCTGTCCAACTCGTCGTACATGTCATTTCCGAGGGGATCAGTGGAGAGATTTTCCTTCACCACCATGATTCCGGAGAGATTCAAACTGTCACGACACCTCGCGACGTATGCGACCAGCTGTGCATCTGTGAGATGTCCCACACACCACTGAGTCCAAATCAAATCGTATTTCTTGCGCGGGCTCCAGTCCTGAAGGCCGACGTTGTATATGTCCCCAACCACGCCCCGCTGTCCGAACTCTCCTTCCTTGAGAGCTCGAGTGAACTTTTCTACCGGCTCCACAATATCCACCACTTCACAGACATCGCTGAGGAAACCCTTCGTCACGCGACCGACGCCCGCGCCGCAGTCGACACCTAGACCGAATTTTTGGTGATCGGAAAGAGTAGGAATTAATCGCCGGACTTTGGCCAAAAAGCTTTTGGACCCTCGCAGCTCGATCCGTGTATACCAGGGAAAATTGCCTAGCATAGCTAGCATACCACTCGAGGTGGCAGGAACGTTGTTCCAATAATCTATCGACGCGTCATGGTCAATTTTGGAGTCCGCCGTCGTGGTTTCATTGAGTGGTAGTCCGTCGACTACAGGAGGTAAATTTTGGGGCATGCTGCAGAGTAATTGAGAGATCCCGTCTGGTTAGAGACAAGAGATTTTCGTAGTTGGTTGATAGTAAATCATGTGACTAAGAGGCCTGAGGCACCACACTCATGGTAAGTTCGGTATACACACAATCTGCAAAGTAGCGGGGATCTGCAATTATTTTATTTGACAGAGCGAATCAACTTTTACTTTCTAATCTTTGCTCCAACCACTTAGCACAATCAAAGGTGGACTCCAGAGGCTCTTTATTCGACCCCTGTACCTCAACAAATTGTAGACCCGAAATGGAAGAAAGCTCTCGGATGCCTGAATCAAATTTGAAATCATCGCACGGAGTTGTTGACAAAAGTTCTTCATCGAAAACAAGGCGCAAGTACCTGAGTCTTTTGAACTGCTTTAATAGCTGCACGCATCTTAAAACGTGAAGAGAGGGTAAACACAAATCAATATCTTTGGGGTTCGACGTGGCTTCTAGGTCGCTGCTGCTAAGCCAAAATAATATGATTCTATATTGCTGCGCCCTATTCGACCAATAGAAAGTGCAAACTTAATAAAATCATCTATATCGTCGAACTTAAAATGAATCGATCGATACGCAAAGGGTAGTGCCTCTTGACGTATCCATTTATTGCCGAGCAGAGCGCTAGTGTTCCGACTTAACGGAAATTAAACCCACTTGAATCTCCAATTGATCCTAGAAAAATGCTCTCAAGGAATTCGGATGGATCTGTTTGTTCCCACTCCGGCTCTGGGATGGCGAGTTCAATAATACTTAGTCGAAGTTCGTGCGGAAGTTTCATCGCATTGCCGCAATCCATCTTGATAGATTCACTTTGAGGCTGCATTTCGTTGAGCTAATAATTTCTTCAAGTCATAAAGGGTCGCCAATACCTTTGTATTCATTTTAACCTGAGACGCCTCGATTTCAGTCAATAGTAGAGGTAGGCACAATCTAAATGAGAATTGAACGTCTAATAGAAAAACGTAGTATCCGACATTACTGCAACGTTTCAGGGTAATCGTGGCTTCTTCATTATTAAGTGACTGTCCTCGAGTTAGGCAAAGGCAAGCTAAATTGCAGAGGGACTGAAGAAATGGGGCGGCCGTACATGACTCTCGCCTAACCTTAGAAGCAGAAGTTCCGTGACAGTGTGGCGTTCCTAGTATTTCTTCTGCCTTCGATGTTCTTGTAGCTCCTTTTCGGTTCTGTCAAAAAGATTATTGGAGACGGGTGACAGATCCGAATAGAATCGCTCTTCCTTTCGAGCCTCATCATTAGGGAGTTCGACCAGGAACCTCAATTCTTTTTGCATTTCAGGAAGCGACGCAAGAGGTCTTTGTTTGGCATTCTTGAGGCCGAGGATACGAAACAGTTTTACTGTCATATACAGGGGTGGATGGTAGAGTGAGGGACAACTTGATCCACGCCGTTCCCTTTGTAATGATGATTTTCACGGCTTTTACCGAAGGGCCCGGAGCCGAAACAACACACAGATTTTAGTTAATGTTCTTATTTGCTGCCATATAACGCGACAGACCTTGCTTCGTGGTTTCTCGGGGTCTGCGCAAAACTTAGGGAAGAAACACAATCTTGCATTGCGACGATGCTGTTCTGATGTTGGCTCGGAGAATCTACCATCTCTAGTATTCTATTTTCCTGGTTATTTGGGACTTTGCACCGCCATGTTGTATTCGTCATATATCAGTCTTCTCCCAAAAGAGTTGCACTGGCTTTCTCGGCATATTGAAAAATCCGTGTATAGTGGTGCGAAGTCATCGAAAAGGGCCTGATGTCGATTCCACCCCTCTAGGTCTAGCTATGTTCGAATTTCCTAAAAGAACAACCACGAAGAGCGAGTCATCGTCGTGTTATCTGCTTCAATATCGGAATCTGCCTTGAAGAGCAAGGCCGCCGCATTTTCTCCCATCTTGTCCACCGCAAGCATAAAGGCCGTTGCGCCCTGATCATCTGAAATATCCGACGCTGCTCCTGCATCAAGCAACATCCGTGCAACCTGTGTTTTTCCGTTCAAGACGGCTAAGTGCAAGGCGGTTCGCCCAAAACAATCCCGTGCGTTGAGATCGGCTTTCGCTTCCAGGAGACATAAGTTGATAGACAGGTTCCCAATTTCCGCAGCAAGCATTAACGGTGTCGTTCCGTACGTTTCAGCGTTAACATCCGCGCCATATTCGACCAGCAACGGCACGACTGTTTCACCGCCTTGTTTGACAGCATGAAACAACGGGGGGGCGTTGTGAGAGCCTCGTAAGTTTACATTGGCCCCGTATTCCAACAGAAGCTGCGTGACCTGCTTGTGTCCCAGAAAAGCCGCTAGCTCAAGCGCGGTATATCCCGCAGGGTCCTTTGCATTAATATCTGCTCCTCTATCAAGCATCATGCGCAGCCTACCGAGCTGGGCTTCCTGTGCCGCTACGCGTAAGCCACTCGTCATAGTGCTTCCTTGTCTTTTGCCTTCAGCAACCCTCTTCAAAAGTGTTCGCTCTCCAGGACTTTCCATTTTCCTAGCCACCAAGTGCAAAGTCTTCTTGCTATCGCCCGATTTTTCCGAAAAAAGACGAACAATCGCCGCATGCTCTTGGACAGCAGCACCGTACAAAGGAGTCCATCCATCTATGTCTTGAATGTCGGCGTTGGCTCCATTTTGCAGAAGTAAAGCAGCTATCTGCTCATGTCCTTGCAATGCCGCGATATGTAACGCCGTGGAACCGTTCTTGTCTGCAAGATCGGACTCAGCCCCATTTTCAAGCAGCAATCTTGCTACTGCCGTTGAGCTATCTTGCACAGTCCAAAAGAGAGCAGTCTGTCCAGCATGGTTCTTCGCATTCACCGAAGCTCCATAATTCAATAACAATCGAGAAATCGACTCACGCGCAACAGCCCAGTGAAGCGCAGTGTTGCCACCTGAATCGGTGGAATTGACATCCGCGTTCTTGGACAAAAGCACTTCAACAGTGGCCTCATGAGCTGCAGACACTGCGAAGTCTAATGCAGTGCTTCCATTGCTATCCTTTGCATTGATGTTGGCGCCACTGTCAAGAAGCATCTTCACCATTTCTTTGTGACCCTCTTCCGCTGCCAGGAAAAGCGCTTGGCTTTTTGTTTCTATACCTGTGCTAGCATGGACTTCTTCCGCGAGCAATAACTCCAGCAACTCGCATTTTCCACCAATGACAGCCCAATTGATTGCAGACCACCCTTCATGGTCCGTTATGAGCTCGGCGCCACGCAAGAGAAGGAATTTGACTAAATCTTTGCTCCCGTTCTTGGCAGCCCACAAAAGAGCTGTTTCTCCGTTGAAATTTTGTTCGTTGATGTCATTTCCATTATCAAGGAACAGCTCGACAGCATCCCTTTGATTGTTCTGGACCGCAACGAGAAAGGGGGTTTCACCACGACTATTACGTATGGTGATATCAACGCCCTCCGCCAACAAAATCTTAATGATATGTGGGAAGCCCCACCAAGCTGCGATGTGCAAAGGCCCAATTTGTTTTGGATACCGGTCGAACCAGTCTTTGATCCGCGGTGAGGTCGCGTACTGAACTTGTACGGCGGACAAAAGCTTACTATTGTCATTGAGGTACTTGAGAACCATTTTCGTGTAGTCGTCACGAGAATTTCGCACATGATGACCCCAGTAATGGGCTGCATAGGGAAGGAATACGTGGTGTTCCAGTCGCTCCTGAAGCGCTTCGCCGTCCACGCATGGTCCGCTGCCAAAGACATCAAAAGAAAGGTAAACGAGGCAGGCTTTCGCAATTTTTGAATCAGGATCTTCGAAAAGCTGTTCGGGAAAAGTCTCGAAGTACTCTTGTAGGGTTTGATGGACAAGCCCTACCACATCTCTCGTTTCATCAATTTTGACCAAACCAGCGCAAATGCTAATAATAAGCTTGTCATCCACGCATTGGCTCTCTTCGAAATCGGTATCACTCGCCCATACTCCCAAGGCATGGCGAAGCTCATTTACGTGAAGAGGTCTTTTTGTATGAGAGATGAATGAAAGTGCATCCTTAGCTAGATTGCAGAGTACCGTTTCTTGTTGCTCAATCCTCTCCATGGCCTCATGATAATAGTCAAAGATGTTGTCGGGCAGACTACTCAGTGCTTTTCGCACACCCGCTATATGCGGTTGTTGGCATATTTTTTCGACGTGATGATAGGCGAGTAGAAACCTGAAGCACTTTTTTAGCACATGCACCTCAAGCTTCTTATCAGCTTGCTTCCTTACATTCCCTTGGATTTAGTAATGATTTCTTCAACGATTTCTGCTTTCATCCTAGAATCGTTTCGAATGACAAACTTCTGGAACATGTTTCTTTTCGAAATCTCGGAGTCCAGGAAAATTTGCAAATCAGATGAATTTGCCGCGATAGGAATCCGCTGAAACCCAGAAAATTTCACAGGAAGGGTAATGTGCGGGCGAGACGTGAACATGAAGCGAATGCTGGTATCCAGCATTTTTATGAAACGAAAGAATTTATCTCTATTGTATTCCGGACACTCATCCTAACGAAAAATCAGCATACGCATAAAAACAACTTGTTATGTTCGGGTTGTACCAGGGCATCAACGATAATGATCATTTTGCAGAAGAAATGGCCGAGGGACTTGATAAGTGCGACCCATTCATCACCCGTCGGATCTCTCTTTTTCACGGCATTTTGATCGCGGAATTCTTTTACCACAGGAGGTATGTGTTCGATTTGCGCAGTTAGTTGCCGTGCAATGCTGGACAGAAGAGCGAGCTCAGAATGTGTGTTCGAGTCTTTGTAATTGCAGTACATGAATGCAAGAGCAGTGTCAGTTCCACGAGTCTTTTCATAGACGTCATCAATAATTATCGACCTATAATTTATAGTCATCAGAGCGAGATTGATACTCTCAATCAAAAGCTAATTCGCGTGAATACATACGTTAATATAGTCTTCCCACTACCGGCTTTAGGCAATTAGCATTCGTGCCATGACACTCATTGTAATCAAGGAAGACTCACGATCTCCATAACACCAAAGAGTCGAGTCCTCGGTGCCGTCCAACCATCGTTGGAATGTTTCGTGGCTCAAGACCCATTGACAGGTTCCATCGTGATGCTTACCGAATTTGTCTTTCTGTGCAGCAAGGAAAGTTTGTGATGAAAGATCATCCAGCAAATCTTGACGTTCAAGAATTCTTTCCCTATCTGAAATAAATGAGAATTAAATATCCCTAAGGCACTCAGCTGGAAAACATACTTCCGAGCTGCTTGTACACTCGCTCAGACTGTTTCAAAGAGCGATTTGCTTCACCCACTTCGACCAAAGTGAGCGTCCCAATCAGTCTTTGTTCTCGCTCGACCATTTGGTGAAAAGTATTGTAAGCCGAGGCGAGCTCATCATCTTCTCCAGACACGAGGTTTCGCAATGCTTTGGCTATTACCGATTGTATAAGTTCGCACTGCGGCTTCTGTGGACGTAATCTAGTGATTTACTTACCGAAACGCTTTTTCTTTGTGTATTTCGCGCAAATCCCACATAAAACCAGCACTGACTTCAAAACCTCAGCCAAAACATTTTCAAGTTCAGGTACTGGAGGTATCTTCCCCTCAATTGTCTTCAGCCGTTTGAGATACGACTCGACATCACGGAAAAATTCGGCAATCTTGTCAAAATCCGCTGATACGGAGTTCGCGGTCTATAAATCATCAGCCATCATAAGTCACATGAAGCTAAGTCCTTACTTTTAAAAGGTGTCGCACTGCCGTGAAAATAGCCATGCTTGGTGGGAAAGACTATCCCAACAGGGCTCAAGTTATTTTTAGTTTTCTATAGACTTTAACAGTACTTACGTTTGACGCTCCTTGAGCAACAACCTCGCTGACCGTTTCGATGGACTTCAGGCTTCGACTGACAAGGCTTCTGAATCTGTCAGTCTTCGAGCCATCATGCCGAGTTCGTTTGAATTCTTCTTCGCGAATGTCTATCTCGCTTAATACATCTTCAACACTGTCCGCTGCTTCAATGGAGCCGAGATCGACTTCAGTTATATCCTTGTATCGGTCAATCGCAGTTCGCCAGATGGCACCGACATCAGTCATGGTATTAGCAGCTGACATTTCGAAACAAATAACCTCAGAGCTAAGAAATGTAGGATTAAACAAAATAAGGGCTGCCACAAAATTGAACCCACCTCAGGAGGCGGGGCGTACGCCTCCAGTCGAGACTAATATCGACTAATACGGATAGCCGCCGATCCTCGACTGGCGGCGTAACATCAATGGCGGCTTCACCTCTTTCCACAACCGAGGACGAAGTCCACGCGTTATGAACAATCGATCTTCCCATGCCCCCGTTCCCTTCACTTCTCAAACGAAAGAAGCCTTCCTGAAACACCTCATCGAAAATCCGTCTAGTCGTCGAATATCCCGACATGAAACGGAAAATCTCCTCGAATGGTTGACGAACCCTTCAAAGCGACCCACCTCACAGACAGAGTTCAGTCGACGAAACTACGTTCGGAAGACATTCACCTGGGACACACATTCTCAAAATCTTCTCGCAAAGCCAAAGTCTGGCGAAGGAGGCCATCGCGTGGTGGTTTTCGAAGATAGAATTGCCGCTACTGTGGAGTGGGTCCACGAGAGCAACGGCCATGCCGGATGGGATAACACTTGGAAGAGCATTAGCATGTCTTACTACGGGATATTGCGGTCAGATGTCATATACCTGTTGAAACAATGTCAGATTTGCGCCCACGACCCTTCCAAGCGTCCCAAGAGAACAAGAGCCAACCTGACAGACCTATCCTCGGCTCATGAAGCTCAGTCTACTTCAGAAAGGGAGGTAATTGAACCTGATGATATCAATTGGGGCTCATGGACATGTGAGGACCCGGCTGCAGGCCAAAGCAAATGATGGCAAATGTTGAAGATTAGGCAAGACTGCTTACTCCGGGTGCAAGGAGGCACTATGTAAGCGACCTATTCCATTGCCTTTGCATTTTACCTAAACCAAGTAGTATAGGACATCTACTCAAATCTTACGGTCTCATTTTTAGCCCACGATGCAGTTGATATAGGAATCCTGGGATTTGAATTCGATGTGTCATTTTCGCTTGCAAGAGAGTCGAATTGACAAAAAAAAAAAAAGAATAAAGCTAGCTCAGGCTAGTGTATCGAAAGCCTTTTTACAAATCTCCCTGATTTGGATCCATCTTCGTAGTAAGGTGGCAACCTTCTGGTTCAATGCAGGCGACGGGTTCTCTGAAGACCAAATCCCTCCTTTGACACTAGTGTTTCCCTCTAACGCCTTAATTGCTAATAGGCTTTCTTCCAAATAAGTTTTAACCCATTTACGGATCCATTCTGTTGCTTTTTCAGAGATAGGGCCCGACGATGGTAGATCAAGAATATATTTTTCCCAATCTTGACGTTTCATGCATTTTAAAGACGCCACAATACTTACACCAAGGCTGGGTCCAGACGAGTTTATCTCATAATGACTGAGGCAGAGAGTAGATTAGCTTGAGTTTCCCGGAATCTAGAGTAGGAGGATTACCCATAGTATCCATGGCTGCGCAGAGCCTCCTTGTCGTCGACTGAGAGATCTTGGCACATGATGTCATCCAAATAAACAGCGTCGCTTTCATTTCGATCAAGGAAAAAGCCATCTATGCGTGCTCGGGTCAGTATAGTACTAAGCAGTGACATAAACAGTAGAAATACTCACATTCCACCAAGAGGTAATCATTGGGATGTGATCCGTAGTTCATGAGTACTTCATCACCTTTCTCTTAATTACCACGTAAGTTGTCAGCCCAAATATTGATCTGCCCCGGCAGATCATCGGAAAAAAGCGCTCACCATGACGAGCTGTGGCTCTAAATGTTGACATTTGTCCGTCGAAAACAACTTCGCAAGGCTATTTCACTGTATTAGACAAAGCTGCGAAGCGTGAAGCATGCCAAAGAGACGTTACTTACCGCATTGTCCGCATGATTAAAGTAATCCCCGAAAGGTACCAAACCTATGGCATCATTCCAGTCGTCAGGAGGCTCTTTGCCAGGACTGACATAATAAAAGCTTCGCGTATTCAATATAAGCCAATGGTATGAAAAAAGGCTCCAATCCGTGGTAGGGAACACGGATAAAACATGTTCCCAAGCATCACGAAGCCGCTTTTGCTGTTGCACCAAGACCTTTTGGTACGTATCCTGGACTGTAAAATCGCAGGGGGAATTGGAAAACAGATTCCATTTTCCAGATGCGGAAGGGGGCAGAGTAATATACCCTTTATCATCGCTTCCCGTATATTCAGGCCACAGTACCGGCAAGGACTCTTGAAAATGTTGTCGAGAAGGCCAAGTTTTGCGCCAGGTAGCCCAATGCTCAAGTGAGCTCGCATCTCCGTGCGTCAGAAATGCGGCGAGGATTCCATGAACGGAGGCTTCGTGCGGAAAGCGATCGACAAATTCTCTCGGGACGCAATCAATTGTGAGCATTGTTGACACAGGAACGGCAATCATAGTCTCATTTGCCTTCATAACGTGTAATTCATTTAGCTTCTTCCCGAAAGATGCTAAAAAAGCCTTTGGATGTAGCTCACTTCTATTGTTCTGGTCGCGATAATTCCCATACCGCGTCCGGGAAATCTAAAAGGGGCGACTCCGTTGATTTGGATACCATTAGACAATGCCCATTGCACGAAATTATGGTGCTTGGCATCAAGCCCTTCGACACTGGCCATTTTTCAATCGAGCAAGATCGATTGATACTAGATTGACGACATCTTTCTTGGTCCGAGGTTCAGATATCAATCATTTTCACGTGATCAGACTGAGTTCTTAGTAAGCCATATTTACGGGTTAAGGTGGACCCTGCTGGAGTTCACGCCCGCTGAGCTGGGCGCCCGACCCAATGAGGTGCCAGAGCTGAACGGAACCGGTCATTAGTCATCATTTTCATGGGTCTCGTTGAACTTTTCACGGGTCCCGCTGAGCGGGAACCCGGTCCGGTTTTACACAAGATGGTATCGACAGGTATTGACACGACACTTTCGCCAGTGCTGCACCGCACTGGATCACGCTGGGCTTATTCGACACTTAATTGGAATATATGAGACCATTGATAGATCTATTCTCTATCAAATCCAGGGACCGGAGGAGCACCAATGACTATGACTTTTGTGACAGGATGATGGTGTGATATTCCGTCGGTATGGCTCATAGCTGGCCAAGAACACGGTCTCTACTTAAGTAACGGCATCCTTCTTTTGGAGATTTAACTCGATTATATCTCGCTACCCCCGACGGAATGACCGCTCCAACATCTTCAGCAACAGAGAGTGTTCCGACCAAACTCGGTGAAAAAGTCCCAGTTGTTCAGTCTACAGTAGGCGATGGAGCACTGCAGCTGCTGGCCGAAGCCGGTTCAGTCGGAGTTGTTGATCCCGAGACATCTAGAAGACTTTTGCGCAAAATCGACTTGTATGTCATGCCACTGATCTGCATCGTTTACTTCCTGCAGTATCTGGACAAGATCGCCATCAGCTATGCCAGCGTCACTGGAATGCGCGAGTCAGCGAAGCTCTACGGCAACCAATTTAACTGGGTGTCCAGTGTTTTCTTCTTCGGTCAGCTCGCCTTCTCCTTCCCCACAATGCGCCTGGTGCAAGCATTTCCCCTAGCAAGATATGTGGCTGTCAACGTTACCGTCTGGGGCACCATCCTGGCCTGCATGTCCGCTTGTCATTCATTTGCCGCCCTGATGGTCTGCCGCGCGCTTCTGGGCGCCGCAGAAGCCGCAGTCGTGCCTGCCTGGGTGGTCTTCACCTCGCAGTGGTACCGGAAGGAGGAACAGGCTTTCCGCGTCGGTCTGTGGTTCTCCATGTGTGGATGGGCTCAGATGTTCGGCGGCTACGTCGCATATGGTGTAGCAATTCACATTGGTGGGGATCCTAGCGCGTCCCTGCGAGGTTGGCAGGTCATTTTTCTGATCCTGGGCCTGCTGACCGTAGTGATTGGCATTCTCTTTTTTTTCATCCTGCCTGATTCCCCTGTTACTGCGGGATTTCTATCCCCAAAAGAAAAGGCGATGCACGCAGAGCGTCTTCGAGGCAACGGGCAGGGCATTGGAAGCAATGTTTTCAAAAAAGCTCAGTTTTACGAAGCTCTTACGGACCCGCACACTTGGCTCTACGCTTTCTGGGTCCTGGCGGCAAATGTACCAAACTCCATTGCTACGAGTTTTGGAAATACCCTGGTAACGGGGATGGGCTACTCAGCAACACAAAGTCTCTTGCTTGTTACCCCGCTGGGGGCTTACGAGGTGGTGGTGTTAGTTGGGTTGACCTATATGGCAATGAAGACACAGCAGCGACTATTCTGGTGCATCATAGGCCATATCCCGGCAATCGTGGGGGCGATCCTTATGGCGACAACTGGCAAAGTGCCGGCCCTTGTGGGATACTACCTCTCGGGAGGCATTCCGATTGGGTGGACGACAATCCTTGGGCTCACCAGTACCAATGTAGCTGGCTCAACCAAGAAGATCACCGTGTCCTGCATCCAGACGATCGCCTACACTGTCGGCAACATCATCTCGCCCCAAACATTCCAAGCCAAAGACGCCCCAAAATATTTGCCGGCCAAAATATCTATCGTCATTCTGTACTTCCTCATCACAATAGACCTGTGCCTTATCCGGTGGCTATCAATCCGAGAGAATCGTCGGCGCGATCAGGAGAAGGAGGCACTAGGTGGCGCGAGTGTCCTTCCAGAGAACCACGAGTTTCTAGACCTAACAGACAGGGAGAATCGGGACTTTCGTTATGCTATATGATAAAAGTTTGTGCACTTGAGCTGGCGATGCGGACGAGGTATAGAGGTGATGAATAGATATAGATATAGTCAATGGAGGGAAGCGAATTTACAACAGTTATGAGACATAGACCCCATGCCGAGATCTCAAAGTTGGAAGGCTCCGCATCGACTGTTGTTTTCTAATGTCCAAGATGCGTTGGGGACAACTAAATAACAAAGATGCGGGCATTTCTTGGTTCTACTCTTGCGCTAAAGTATAGTTGGCTCTTTAACCGCTAGGTGGAGGCTGATTCCAATTATGGAAATCTAAGAGTGAAACGGGACTACTGCAGGCGAAGAGAAAGTGAATAATTGACTTCTTCGCGCGCGCCAACAGAATATCCAACACATGAGCTGCGAAATGATTTGTCCATCCATTTTGCGGCTTCTTTAGCTGAAATAGGAGGCAGTGCAGCTGAGTAAAGCGCTAAATGCCATCTCACTAACTCCCCGGTGCTCGCAGATTCTTAACCTGCTTCATTTCCCTTTGTGTCTCAAAGCAAGAATATTTGATCTTTCAAGTTATCATCACGAGAATCTCCAAGGGTGACGCGCGACATGGCAGAAATTCTAGGAGCTGCTTCTGCTGTTGTTGGCCTTGCTGCTTTTGCAACTCAAGTTGTGGAAAAGCTTGATGCTCTGAACGCTATCTATAGGTACAACCGGACTGAAGCTGCAGTTTCGATTGAATCATTGACTGGTCACCTCAATATTCTTCGCTTAATATTAGGGTCTGCCCAGTCCCTAGAGGGGCATCCCGCGGTCGATCAAGCGATTTTGAAATGTCAGGAGACCTACAGCATCATTGACCTTGGTCTAGGCGATCTTTTACAGAGAATTACAAACATGCCATCTGCCAAGCGAGCCGGTTTGAAGTCGGTGAAACTACTATTTTCACGGGATATTCGCCGGGAGGTCGAAAAAATCGAATCTAAGCTTGACCTCGTGACCAAGACACTGAACTTGTGAGCTCCAAAACTCCCGACAACGAACCAGAATTTTGGCTGATTCTAATTGATCGTACAGATTGCTTTTACTTTACAACATCCAAGACCCGAGGGATACCGTAGGAGGTCCACCGGGGGAAAGCACCTCTGCACCTGCTTTGACCCAATCAATTTCCCGGAGCAGTTCCTTCATACACGACTCTGACCCACGAGAGCAAAATACGGCAACCTTGGTCGTTAGAAGAGCCACCCACGTTCAACGAGCGTCATGCAGTCGGCAATACTGCCATTGCTCATGTCATCTAACTGAAAATATCAAAGGACACTACTGGGGTTTCGAGTTCACGCCGTTTTCGGCTTTGCTTGGAAAATGCGACAACAAAGAATGCACTGCGAGGAGCCCTTCTTGGAAAGTACGCTATGCCTTGAACAAGTTTCAAATTCCATTTGCACTCGTTATAGGGTTAAAGTTGGTGTCAGGCACTGGCACGTACACCATCCAACCAGCCCTTAGTCTAGAAAGGGTGGTAAACTATACATCTGCGGGATTTGAGATACTCTGGAAGTGCCAAAATGACGCCAATTTTACGCCTTCTCAAGCCCGAGAGCGCTTTCACGAACTGTATCGTTTGGACAATGGTCTTAAGAACCATAGAAACCCGGACGGGAAGGGTTATGTCCAGGTACGTCAGCTTAACCTAGCTGCCCTGTCTAGTCTAAACTGACACTACAAAGGAGCTTCTCACTTATGGGCCTTGGAGGAATCAAAATAAACAGTTCGCTCTTTTGAGGACTTTAGTTCGTGATTTTGGCATGACACTTGAAAATCAGGATCAAAGGTTTTTCCAACTCCATATCGTTATGATATAAGTGGGACTAACCTGCGTTATCTAGCTTCCTCCTTCAATGCGTAGCTTGGATAGGAGAGGGATCCCATCTTGATTTGCTTGATGCGATTCTTGAATGTGGATTTGATCCCAGCAATATAGATTCACCATTGTTTCAAAAATGGCCCTTGCCGTTATCGCCAAATTGGTCATCAGAAGAATTGACTCCTGATCCATTCTTCATCAAGTATCTTGCCACTCTAGCAAAGGCTAGCCCTGGTGAGTCTCATAAAATCTCAAAATAATGACGCTTTTAACCGATAGCAAGGATTTGCGGGGGCCACGGCACTGCACGATGCGATTTTACTCCAGTCGGTCAAAAATGTTCGTAGGTTGATCTCTTCTTCCGACATGCTAGAGGAAGATCGGAACTTCCTAGGCCAGACACCCTTACATCTTGCGAGCGTTAATCGGGATATTTCAAGTCTTCTGTTAGATGCTGGGCATAGCATAGACACCACTGATAAACATGGGATCACTCCTTTGATGTACGCAGCCGGGATGGGAAATAGCGAAGTTGTCCAAATGCTTATCCTCCGAGGTGCGGACACCACCATCTCAGATACACGCTGGGGCCGGAATTTCGTCGCATATGCATCCGTACGTGGTCATTGGAATCTTGTCTTCAAATCTCTGCAAACAATGCAATCATGCTATACTGGGAGGACCTTTCAATATTTCGTTATTCACGCCTTAATGGCACTGATTGTCGACCACACGCAGATCGATGACCTGAGAAGGGCCGAATACTTTGAAAATCTGGTTAACCTCTGTGAAGATGTGAATCTCACATTCGAGAATCGCAACAAAGGCACAATTCACGAAAACCTACTACACTACGTCCGAAACCAGAAGGAGGCCCAGTCTCTTGTTCGTCGCGGTTTTAGTGGGTTCAATCAAGCAAACAGTGATGGGAAGCTTGCAATACATTCATTCGTGCAATGCCCAAATGCCGAATTGATTCAATATTGCCTCGAGAATGGAAGCAATGTGAATCACGCTGACGTTGACGGACGTACTATTATTTTCCATCTGATTTCGCAGCTGGGAAAACATAGCTGGTTGATTTGGGATGCTATTGATTCAATCAAGCTGTGCTTGGCTCGAGGGGCTGATGTTTTCCTTTCTGACAGCTGCGACTGCCCGTGCCTTGATGGCAATGGCTGCCATACATCTTCAGCATTTGACTTTGGGTTTAATTTCGATCTATATGGGAGTCGGACTGGATTTGTGTGGGCTTTTGAGTGGCTCTCAATGGTGGAAGAATTCCGAGGCCTTGAAGCGTCAAAATTGATGCTTTTATCCTTCCTTCGCAGGACCCAATCCGACATGATTGGTATCACACATTCTTGCTGCCATAGAGGAAGAGGGGTACGTGTGAGAGACTATGGTCTGTTCAGACCGAGAGTCCTTTCGAATGAAGATGTCAGGGAGATACTCGATGAGGAAGAGGAGTTCCTCGAGATACTAGAAGAAGATATGCAGTCGTGGAAACACCAGAGCTTGGACAGCCTTAGGTCTCAGTGGATGGTTCTTTTGAAAAGAAAGCACAAATTTGAAGTGACAAAGGCAAGAGAGAAAAGACGCGACAGAAGACAACTCAACCAAGTGAGTGAAGGCGAAGGACCCAACAAAGAAAATTAAGACTATATGCTAACAGGACAGTTGACTCGCGGAGTGGATCACAAAAACGATCGCTTTGTAGACAATGTCACAATTGTCAGCCCTGGTAGTGAGCCAATGATTGATTTGTCAACGCCGATGGCCGAATATGCTTTCTGGTTACAGCACGAATACTTCCGGAGCAGAAATAGACCGACTAATCTTGCAAAGGACCGCTGGTATGAAAGACGAATGTCCTGGTTTCGAGAGTTGATGGATATAATGCAAGTACGGGACAGTGAGATTGTCAAGAGTCTGCGCAAGATAGACGTCACAGAGAGCCGATCCGAGCAAGTTGATCAGGAGGCGATCTCTGCCCAGTCTCTAGCTCATTTTAACTCCTCTGCGTTCGAAATTGTCGATTTGAATACCCAGAGGTAAGACGTTGGCTTTGATTAGCGTCCTCAATACACATCGTGTGATTCTGGGCATGGCAAAGAAAAGCCCATGGCGTGCCAGGACACGGGTGGATCCAGGAAGTTGCACTCTCACCACACTTTGGGAATGTCGTGTGATGGTGGCAAGACATGGGAACGCCAGGCATGCAACCCGATCCTCCCAGGTCCGCCCCAGGATCTCTCCGTAACAGGATGGAGAGATCCCAGCTTCGCAAGCTGGATTCGAGGACAGCAGAGTGTTCTAAAAACAAGCAGTCCGACCTATGTGGCCTTATTTCTGGTGGCATTGTTGCCCAAACACCAACCGTTTTTGTCTATACTGTCAACCCGAAGGACCTTCGAGAATGGCAGTATGATGGCCCTTTGGTCGACGTCGGCCTCAACTTCCGTCCCTCACACTGATCAGGCGATTTCGGCATTAACTGGAAGGTGGCTAATTTGGTGACTCCCGGGACTTTGTTGTCATGAAGGTTGAAGGAGGCCTACGCCCAGAAGGCTCCAGCAGAAATACCCGAGAAGCTCGTCAAAGACGTCCCGTGGCCAGCTTTGGATGTCCATCAAACCGTCTACACAAAGACGCACCAGCGGAGACGCATTGGATTCCACTAATCGCTTTGCCTCTCGCTCTCCCACTGCTTCTTCCAGCGGTCCTAGATCCGCTCACGGACCATTCGCTTGGCAGCCGCAGCGAGCCGGATCGTTGGTTGGTCCGCTCCGGTACCGCCCCCGACGGTCGCACCTCCCGCACCTTCGAGCGCCGCGCATTTAAATGGACCTGGATATTATGCGCGATTGGTTGGGTAAAGTGTACGAGTTCTCGGCAGATTATACATATACGGGTCCATGACAGAAGTTCATGGTTTCACCGTTCCGGTTTCAAGTTCCTTTTCTTAAGTCACATCTTCCGTAGCCGTGAGAAATGAGAACAACTGCAATAAAAGAAGGTTGTAAAAGACGATTTAAAATAGCAGTGCATGCGCGTATTGCAACTGAAGCTACACTGGGTTGACAATATAAGTGCATACTCACCTAGGTAGGCGTATACCTGTGCTAACATCTAATTGTCATTAGGAAGTGTCATTTTGAGCTTTTTGATATTATTTTCTTATTTACCAATATCAATTCCTAGATCTGATTAGCCCATGGAAAGTGGCCAATTTATCAGCGTTATCGCGGCGTGATGGGCGTATCTGGCGTATCCGGCGTATTTGGCGGGAGGGCCAACATCCAAAGTGGAGTTGGCTTCTCACTTGAAGTATATAAATTTCCTCGCCCAACGACTTTGAGACCTCGTGAATGAGAGTACTCTCGATCTACTTTCTTCCTCGATTCTGTATTGAATTATGCCTCAATCAACTTTTAAACAATATTTTCTCCCCGAGAAGCGGGGATTCCAATGCCTGACCCTCCGTGATGTTCCCAAGACTTCTCCCAATTATGGGCAGATCCTGGTACGAATCAAGGCGGTCTCTTTAAACTGGAGAGATGGCATCATTGCTATGGGAACTTACCCCTTTCCTGGCCCCGATGCCCTTGTGCCCGGCAGTGACGGTGCAGGTAAAGCTCATTTCCCGTAATCGTTCCAGTTGCTCTGATCTAATAATTTCCCAGGTATCGTTGAGGAAGTCGGCGAAGGTGTCACTGAATGGAAGGTTGGTGACCGGGTTCTTGCCAACTTCACCCAAGACCATATAGCTGGCCGACTCAACCCTCAATCTCTCTTATCCCAACTCGGAGGGGAGATCCAAGGTCTTTTGGGGGAGTTTTTTATTTTCCCAAAAACGGGAGTTGTTCGCATTCCAGATTATCTCTCTTTCGAAGAAGCCTCCTGTCTCCCGTGTGCGGCCCTTACTGCCTGGAATGCATTGTACGGATTGAGCCCTATCCGGCCCGGTCAGACTGTTGTCTTACAAGGCACTGGTGGCGTCTCAACCTTTGGGTTGCAGATTGCTGTTGCAGCTGGTGCAGAAACTATTGTGACATCGTCATCAGATGACAAATTAGTCAAAGCGAAACAATTGGGTGCAACCCACACAGTCAATTACAAGACAAACCCAGACTGGGCTGCGGAGGTGAAGAGAATCACGAACGGCCACGGAGCTGACCACATAATCGAAGTTGGTGGAACTCTCACTTTGCAGGCATCATTTGATGCCATCGCATTGCATGGGATTATCCATTGTATTGGGCATATCACGAACCCGGATCCTCTGGGCGCAGGAAAAGATCTTCGAGGGCCAGATGCCGCGTTTCTGGCCTTGGATCGACTCTGTATTGTGCGTGGAGTGGTGGTGGGTTCGCGGGAGCAGCTGCAAGATATGTTGGAATGTTTTGATGCCAAGACTATTAGGCCGGTGATTGATCGCATCTTCGGGTTCGACATGGCCAGAGCCGCGTATGAGCACCTGTGGAGTTCGACGCATACTGGAAAGGTTGTCATCCGTGTGCCCTGAGCTTGATGATAGCAAGATGTGACCATCTAATTTTGCTGCGTTATCTGTCCTTTTTAGTTTCTTTCCGCTCAATACATATTTCTCAATCGAGAGGGTCTTTCTAGTAAGAGTCACGATGTCATTCGAATCCGCTCGGACAACTACTGTTCAAGATTCAGTCAATATATACAAAGAGGGTTACGGATGTGCACATAGTACCATCATGAAGTATTTGAGCAAATTTCACCCAATATCTATATCCCTTAGAGCGAGTATACTGTTTCTCATGTACCGTCCTCATGAATATATCGCTAATCCCTTTTCACCTCCTTGTTGCGCAGTCTCCAGTGTTGATAGTAAAGAAAGGATATTTACTGGGAGACTGACCGCCTTCTTAACTCCGTGATTTATCAGCGCTAGTCACCTGACTCCCTTCCGTTGGCCGTTATCTTGGAGAAAAAGTACGTTTCGCTATTGCCAAGTTCCCAGATGGCACAAGGACGAACCTCTGATCGATAAACGAAGGATTTAAATGCCATTTTTGGAATCACCAAGGATATAAAACGCCGAAATGGCTCTAAGCATGACAACACTGGCTGCTTAACCTGTCGCCACAGGTAGGGTTCTACGCAGACTCAGGTTCATCACTTGGTCATTGACGACCCCCTTAGACACAAGAAATGTGTGCCCAATACTTTTCCCATTTGTGGGGCATGCAGACGTCTCAATCTCAAGTGTGTCCGCGAACCGGTGCGCCAGATAGTGCCACCTTCAACATCTTCGGAGGAGTCAAAACCTCGCAACGGAACAGCTATACATATTTCAGCTCTATGCACGGAGGTATCATCAAGTTATCTTCCTTTGGATGAATATGCAGCGACAGATGCCTCTAGACGACGATACGCTCTCAAATTTTACATTAATGTCCTGTCTCAACTTTTGACCGTTAGCCAACAAAACAATTCATTTCTCACTGGTACGTTATATTTGAAGGAGATCTTCAATCGAGTCAATAAAATGTTGACATCCCTAAATACTTTCTCCCAATGACCACGGAGTCCCCAGCTCTTGCACACGCCTTGGTCGCTTGGTCGTGTGGACATCTGTCGTCTGTTGACAGCTCCTATCATATCACCGCACTGGAAGCGCGATCAAAAGCACTACTAGAACTTTCAAAAGCCGTTTCATCTCCCGATGAGACTCTCCGTGAGTCTAACGCAGCCGCTAGTCTTGTGCTAATGACATCCGAAGTCTGTCTCGGCGATCATACGAAATGGCTCAATCATTTGGGTGGTGTTAAACATATTATCTTGTCTGCTCAGCGCCGAAATATCTCTGGGGGCCATTTGTTACACGGACCGGAGGCGTTGAAGCAGAGTCCAGAGGGCCGGTGGATACTACGCAATTTTGCATATCACGACGTCCTGGGCAGCGTGACTCTAGGACAGCCTCCTTTGATCAACGCTTGCTACTTGAAGGGTATAACCGATGAGGTTGACACTTACCTTGGCTTGGCTTCCGAGGTTCTGATCCTTCTTTCAGAAATAAGCTGTCTTGACGTTTTGAGATTAGCCAATAGCTACGTTTTGATGAACGAGGCAGACCCCTCAAACACACAAAAGTCGTTCCAGGTGATGGAGCGGGCTCTTCGAACTTGGACATGTCACAAAGATGGAAGTTTAACATTAACAGCGTTGGCATATACCTATCGTGGGGCCGGTTTACTTTTTCTCTACCGCCAGACTCTTCGCGGGATGCGACTGCTTCCTTATTCCTCCCCTGCGGACCAACACCGAGATTTTCACCGTTTGCTGCACTCCAAGATTCAAACCGAAGTCGCTTCAACTCTACAATTTGTTACCCGCGTCCCATTGAGCGGGTTCCCAGAGGCTGCCCTTTTATTTCCTCTTTTCCTCATTGGTGGTGAGGCTATGGACCCATTGCATATCGATCTCGTCCGTACGCGGCTGCAACTCATGCTAGAAAAGCGCCATTTCCACAATATTCTGCGGGCATTAGAGGTGCTCGAGGATGTTTGGAAACGTCGCCAATATCACCAGGAAACTTATGACGTTGACTGGCAAGATGCAATTGACAATAATGGAGGGGAGCTGCTTTTGACATGAACGTTGTCTTTAGACAGTGATAGCTCGATTCGATCTTTTGCCGAGTGCTTTAAGTTATTCTATGAACACATGCTATCTTTCTCGTTAGTCCTGTCAGATAGACGAGGGAAATTAAAGAGGAGTTGACTAGACTTTTATAGGCTGCAGTACCCCAGTGTGATATCGAGAAGGTGTTATAGTAGTATCAGTCCATTACAGCGTGTGCATCTGGCCATTTCTAGGAGTGATAAGGTGCCACGGTAAGTAGTGAAATCTACGAGCCAAGATTCATATCACCAGTTATAGAGGGCACTTCCCAGAAGAGGTAACCATCCAGCAGATTAGCCAGACTTTGCATATGCAAGTTCTGGCTATAATCATCAGCAATACCCAAGATGGCATCATTTTGCGCCACGTTATAGCTGTGTGTGCTAATCCCCCCAGTCAACCCATGAGATGATTGCGACGGTGCATCATTATAGTTCTGTTCAACCGCGCCCACAGGCAAATTCGTCATGTCGAAGGCTGGTTGCATTCGAAGTTCTTGTTGGTCGGTTGAATCGAAAAGCTCTACCAGCGACTCTAGGTATGCAAAATGTAGGGCGACTGTATCTTGTGGTGATTGGATACACTGCCCTATGTGCTGGGCGATATCTCGAATAAGGTCGACTGTTGTCTTCTGGAAGGCTTCGCCAATAACACCATTTCCTGGGAGACAAAGAAGCAAGCATAAGAATAATGCTGCGTTTGGGGCGAGCAAAAGAACGGCATCAGGAGCTAGTCTTAGGTCGCTTGGCGGAAAGTTCATCAAATGGCGCAATGTTCCAAAAGCACCTTCCACACTACTCGTCAACCCTGGCAGGTTCTGCGACAAGACTTCTTGTGTGGTTGACAGGTCAATGTCCACTGTTGAACGGGCTGACTGGTTATTGAGATCCACGGATGGGGACACAGAAGCCATCAAAGCTTGGCGGAATATGGAAGAAGCCACATTGAGTCTGACACCACTCTCCCATACATTCATAAGAGTAGTGAGATGATGGCTACCCGGAAATAAAAATTCAGGTTTGAGGTTTGGGTCATCCTCTGGCCGCTGACGTCCTTCGCCTTCAAGGTGATTGTGCCATTTGAATCTCCATGATCTTAAGTCTGCATCCATGAGCTCCAGCAGACACGGCAGCATATCTACCGATCTCCTTTGAACCAAGTGACGCAACTTCGATTGTATACAGCGTAGATCGGCACTGCAACAAGCAGCAAAATCAGACGGCAAAGCATATGGCATTCTCAGCCAGACATTAAGGTCGCCAAGAGAAGGTGTATCTTCATCGCCTTGGCTCAGCGAGGCTCTCCGCACAAAGAAAAGGCTCTGCTGCCTGTCCTGCCGAAATAATGCAAGCCATGTTCTCTTTTGCCTCGCCACCTGACGCCCGTCACTATCACCTTGTTCCAAGTCCAGGTCATGAAGGATGCGAAAGGCGTAACCGCTGTGAAGGTACGAGATATCATCATCTGCATCCTTCCAGCAGACTAGCAAGTAAAAAGCTTGCATTGTCTCGATGGATCTGCTGCCCTCGGCAATGGCCTTAATCGCCAAACTCCGTGCTAAGCTACAAAGTCGGCTTTGTAGAAATAGATCAGGAGTGAAGACTACCTTCCCCTCGATAAAATTTGCAAATTTGGATGAACAAAAGAGAATTGAGGCAAACAGAAAGGAATTTCGCATTTGAACGCTATCGTGAGTATCGACGTGAGGATCGAGAAGATACTCCCATTTTGCATTCATCTGTACCATGAAAAATTCAAATAAAGCCTGAGATGCCTGTGGGCTGATAATTCCTCCCTTGATCGGATCTACAATAGTCTGACCCAGGGTCATAGAAGAGATATAACTGGGCATTTTGACGGAGCCAGCCGGTCGCCAGTCATCTTCACTACCTTCAGTGGGCACACTTAATTTCAAGGGTCTTAGCAGCCCAGAAAGCTTTAAAGATGGGTGTGCCTTTTGGTCTTGCTTGAAGGTGTGTTGCTGTAGGCGGTTGACTGGAGTACGGTCATTTGAATTCCCACTAGCACTGAATGAGGGGCTATCTCCCGAGGTGACGAAAGTGAACGGCGAACCTCTTTTCCCTTTGATAGTAGCCAAGGCGGCAATAATTCTTGCTCGAGTTGCATTGGTAATGATCGGTCGGCGGTGCTGCGACGGCAGCTGCTGGATGTTGTCTGTAGAGTTGACCCTCTGGCTAAGGAAATGAGGAGGTCGATATGTAGGGACAGTTGCATCGTCACAGACCGATTGCAGTGGCCCTGTTTGGGTTTGACCAGATGTGTTCCCATCCAAGGAATATTGATTGCAATGCTCAGTAGTTTCCGGGCCATGTCTTCCACGTTGGGGATATGGCTGGACTCTCGCTCTGGCCCTTTTCGACTGCGCAAAAACGCATTCAGTGTCATTTGTTCTGCATCTATCACAACGGCCTGGTCGCAGGGAGACTAGACAGCGAACTTTGGCTTCCCGGCATTGCAGACAAGCACTGCAGGCATCGCATTAGCGCTGTACTGATTTCACGCTCAATCACTCAGCAAGGGGTACGCACTTACGCAGGTGCGCGGTGTAGGTTGGTTGGCGTAGAAGTGGACGGTGCCATTGATTATTCTCACAGAGGTGAATAGTCCACGAAGTCGAGAGGCTTGAGTAAGAGATAAGCGTGAAGCTGGAGGCCGAAGCACGGAGGCGCATTCCGACTTCCCCGCGTATCGGTCGCTCGGCCCGATATCACCGCCTGCCTGATAGTTCTACGGCCAGTAGCCTTATCTTAGCTCTCCCTCTCTTGTTGCCTTCTTTCTTCTTGGTCTCCGTTTCTCTCTTAGCATACAATCCATCCCACGATTGACAACGACTGATTGTTCTGAGAAGCCATATAAGAAGAGAGACATTGATAAGGTTCCAAATTCTGAGCGCCGAAAAGCGGGTTAGTAAGAAAACGAGGTTCGGGGTTCCAGTGTACGTTTGGACAGATTTCCTTGAACACTGAGAAATCTTCAACATGCGTTATCTCCGGGCTACTTGAAGTCATAGCTTATAATGATGAGTTCGTCACGAAAGGCAGACAGGAGGGTGGTTAATGCGTAAGTACCAAATCGTGGAGAGGTCATATTCCATGCTAGAAACCATCACTGACTAAGGGATATATCACATAGCTGCTCGCGATGTCGCCAACACAAGATCAAATGCACCGGGGAAAGTCCATGCCGCAATTGTACACAACGTAATGCCAAGTGTCAATTCGAAAAAGAAGTTACAAAAGTCCAAATCACCAGAAAGCGACTGTCAGAGTTGCATCACAGAAATCGTGAACTAGAGAGACAAAATCTTGCTTTACAGCAACGACTGTCAGGCGCGACTGAGGCAGCCGCAACACCGCAGTACTCCTCTGGAGTGAGAAATTCACCAAGTGCCGCAATTGTAGACCCTGAATCTATGCTGATACATGATGAACATGAGGATGTCAGCATGGTAAACCCTTTGTCCTCGGGGCCTCCCAAATATATAACAGATCCAGCCGGAAAACCCTGTAAGGTCATTGGTTCACGTCTGTACCTACAATGTCCTAATAAACTCTCCTAGATTACCTTGGACATACTTCAACTTGGTCTCTGACTATTCGGCTCTTGAATCTGACACACGAGGCATTATACAAGTGCCCTTTCCCAAGTGCTGCTAACGACATCGACTCTATGACCTACGATTTGGAATGGAACGGCCTGCGCAGTCAAGCCATTCCCGATATCCGTGGACTTCCTGCAATCGACCATGCGCTCTTCCTCATTAACGCAACTAAGTTCCATACCGGGCAAATGTTCCATTTGTTCGATGAGGCCAAATTTATGAAACAGTTCTACCACTTTTACGAAAACCCAGCGGAGAATATTCGTACGGCAGGACTGTGGCTTCCACATTTCCTAGTCATCATTGCCCTTGGGAAGGCATTTGTTGGGGCACAAAACCGCGGGAATATGCCACCCGGTTCTGAGCTTTTTAGAGCTGCTTTTATGATGCTCCCAGACTATAGCTTTTTGTGGAAGGATCCTTCTACCTCCGCAGAGATTCTCTGTGCATTCGCTTTGTACTTGCAGTCTATTGACTGGAGAACCTCAGCACATAACATGGTAAGTGCCTGTTAGGCTCTCGTCTTGCATGATTGCTATAAGCGATTACTTACCTCGAACTTTTTCGGAATATTCAGATTGGCCAAGCATTGCGAATATTACAGGTTCATGGTTACCACACGGATCTTTCCACCCGATCCACAAATGAGCAAGATCTGATGCGATGCCAGAATATCTGGTGGACTGTGTATATCCTCGAGCGCCAAATTTCCGTGCTTATGGGTACGCCTCTTAGCATTAGCGACAATGACATCAATGCCTCATTACCTTTGCTTCCGGATTCATTGCTGAAAACAGCAACCCTCGTCATTCATGTCAAGTTGTCGAAGGCTCTTAGCCGCATTATGAATGGTATGTTCGCTAGCAGCTCTCTCGGAGACAAGCCCTAATTTCACGACAGCCCTCTACAGAGATAAAGGGGATCTGGGATCAACATTTGTGAAAAGCACACAGGACGTTCTACAAAGAGTGGCGGACGTGGCCCCTGAACTCCGTGAAAACTTCCCGGTACCTGACCAAGAAGCCCTGAGCGGCATCTCTCGAGTAGCAGGATACTTAAATTTGCTATACCATCAGGTCAGTTCCCATTCAGTGCTGAAGCCGCTAGTTAGTAACACCAATATCAGTGTATCATGCTTGCTACTCGGCCGTTTTTGTTCATGCTAGTTGAAATTCGTGCCAAATCAACGGACCCTCAGATCCGAGTTCCCGCGCCTATCCAATTACTTCTACAAATTTGTCTCGAATCAGCAAAGAAGACCTCACAGATTTTGGGATCTCTGCAAGAGCAGAATCTGTTAGGTATCAACTAAAGCCCCTTCCGATGTGTCAACAAACAGTTGTTCTAATCTGTCATAGAGTGCTTTTTGCCGTTTGATTTGGAAAGCGCCGTCTCCGCCGGCCTTGTCATCACTATGGCCTCACTAATCAGCCTTCCATTGATTGCGAACCGGACGTCATATCTTGACATGTTGTTCTGTGTTTTAGATCGGATGACTGATCATGGAAATTTGATAGCCCTTGACAAAAAGAGGAAAATTCAACAATTGGAAACACTTTGTGCAAACCTGAAAACGTCCCCCTCGTCGTCTCTGATCAATGCCTCAAACCCTCGGCAGCTCCAATCAAGTAACTTGCCAGACACTAACCTGGCATCAAGGTTACCGAGTGATGGATGGAATCCCTATTTAGGGCAAGGCAACCAAGTTGAGGGCTCGAGGGAAACTTGTGAAGAAGAAGCTCCCGATGCGGACCACTGGGCTAACAACATTTCACCCTCTCATTTGCTGGAAGCCGCCAACATGTTAGATGGTGGGAACTTACTGGATTGGGTTGATCTGCCCAGCAGTAGCTTTTTATTCGGGACTATTGGAGGGGAGTGATATCCTAAGAGTTGAATATGTATTTACTACCACATGCCAATGCGAGCGATGCCTTTTAGATGATGCTCAGCTACCCAGAAGACGATTTATGTACTCTATACGAAAGGAAGGTGTGTTTGGTTCATGAATCATATGGACAAGCTATCCTTGCATCCTATTAGGGACAAACAAATATTTGTAAAACAAGCCATGTGGATATCCTCTCAGGAAGATTAAAACTTCTAGGCATCGTGAGGACTATTTGTATCTACTTCATCCACAAATTCCGTACGGTCCAGGTAGCCGATGAGTGCTGCGCTATCGATATGGTGCTTCTGCTCAGCCATCACCCACCCATTTCCGAACCAACCAAAATCATTGCCATCATATGAATGTAGGTCGTAGTCCTCCCATCTGACTTTCTGCAACGCCTTCAGAGCATGGAGGCTGCTACCAGGCCATAGTGCAGTCACTCGGCCTCTCTTTCGCTCTTCGAGGGATGACCCCGGTGGCGAGGACTTGTACCAACTTGCGCATTCAGCACTGTAAACAGTGCGCTCAAAGTACTTGTCAGAGAACCTTGTAAAGTTTTTGACTTGTGATTCTTTCGGCTCGACAAGACCTATATTATCATAGGCCATTCTTGAGATGATCTCTGCAACATAGGTATGAACTTGCTCCATCGTGATGAGTAGATTTCCAGCACCTTGGAATGAATTCGGCCCTAGAGACTGAAAGAAATTCGGGAATCCATTGGTCGAGATTCCGAGGTAGGTTTCTGGTCGCTCACTGTACTTCTCGCGTAGATTGACTCCGCGTCGACCGATTATAGGGAATCCACCTCCAGGGTTTGTCTGAAACCCTGTGGCACAGATAATGGCATCCACCGCTCGATGCGTCCCACACGAAGTCACAACGCCTGTCTCTTCAATTGCATCAATCCCTGTGGTGATGACGTTCACCTTGGGTGAAGTCAGGGCCTCTAGGTAACCTGGTCCCGGGGTGAGACGCTTGCAAAGTGGAGGGAAATCGGGAAGCAAATTTCCCAGAAGTTCCGGCTTGTCCTTCAACCTGCGCTCCATATCCGCTTTATATTGAGCCCGAGAAGAGGCCTGGAGAGCGCTACTTGTTTGCGTTTTGGAGTATAGCGTCTGTAGCTCCAACTCAAGCCCTTTGCGGTATTCAATGTAAGAGGCAGGATCGCTTTGCCAGGCCTGCCTTTCCTCGCTGCTATAAGCAAAATTTCCTCCTTTACCGTCTGTGCGTGTTGATAAAATCTTTCCGCCATGTTGGTTGGAGATCCAGGTCTTGCTGCGGACGTAATGATCCATACTTTTGACCTTGTCCAGGAGAGCGGGCACAATCTGGATACCACTGCTACCAGCTCCAATTACAGCGATGTTTTTGTCCTGTATATTATTGATCAGGCATTGAATTCTCGGGCCGATTTTAGGATTTAATCTTACCTTCATATCATAAGTGCTATCCCAACAGGCACTGTGAAGTAATTTGCCTTTGAAACTATGCAGGCCAGGAATGGATGGCCACTTCCATTCATTCAACAGTCCAGTTCCTGTCATAAAAATATCGGCGGAATCTTCAAATACTGATCCGGTTTTCTCGTCGAAGATCTGCACAAACCATTTCCCTATCGAATCATTCCAGCGTGCTCCAACGCAGCGGCTCTGGAACTTGATGTGCTTTCGAACATTATACTTCTGAGCTACTCGGTTCCAGTACTCTCGAATTTCATCTGCGCCGGAGAAGAAATGGCTCCAGCCTGTCCATGACTCGAAACTCAACTGGTACACGTGCGATGGAACGTCTAGATTACATTAGCATTTCTAGCCTGACTGCCAGCGATCTTGCTCACTCACCACATGCACAGCCCGGATACTGATTTTCATACCAAGTCCCCCCAAGCTCAGGATTCTTCTCATAAATTGTCAGGTCCAAGTCAGGAACGGCTTCGCGGAATTTGATAGCAGCAATAATTCCTGAGATGCCAGCGCCGATGTAGATAACCTTGAGAGGTCGTGGCTGATCCACAGCTCGCTCTGAGATGAGTGGAGTGAAAGTCTTGTGCTTTTCCTCAGAGATTCCGCCTTTTGAGGTAACAACTTGTTTTTGGTTTTCCGATCTCACGCTTCCCTCACTTGACGAAAAATTGTCTTCGATAGTGACTGTTGTATACTCTTTTCCGTTGACAACCTGAGGAGTTACAGAAACGGGAATGTCGGTCAAAGAAGTCATGATGAATATCACAAGTGATTTCCTATAATTTACTTAACCTACCTCCCATGGGTATTTTTATACCAAGATTCAGGTGAGCATAGGAAGATATCAGTTCTTCGGATGGGTATCCGGTTACGTGTAAATAGTTTGAGGTTAGACAGTAACTCCGACTTTTCCGTACCCGCATGAACCCCTCTTACTTTGACTTTGTTTTTTATTCTAGTTGGCCGAGATACTGAGTCGGATTGCCTGCGACCTATTAGTTGATACCGTGTTCTAAAATTGTATCGGAAGGGATTCCGGACTGTCACCTGGACTGATTATGCTTTTAGGTCGCCACGTCTGGAGATATATAGGACCGGTCACGGGACCAGAGGTCCTTGGTGCATTAGCATTGCTAAGAGATGAATGTATTTTGATCTTATGATACTCTATGAGATATAATTATTTCGCCTTGCCAGTTGAGATTGGCAAAGTGAAGGTTCGCCTTGCAAGGCTCTAATTTAATTCACCCACGTAGCTCCGGAAATAAGCTAGTTAGATACTTGCCAAAAGAATAGGTTGAGGAAGAGAGGAATTTCACCTGTGATATCGTCCTTTGGCTCCATCATGGTACGGGAATACCAACATAGACATGTCCAGTCCGAGACGTGAGCAAAGTTCAAAGTTCATCCGATAATGAACAGATGCTCTCTACCCAGATCGGATACTCTTCCGATGACGGTCTTATGTCATCCTGGTTGGCCCTCGGCTCTCAAACAAAGCTACTTAATTGATGATGAGCCGACACCGACGACCCTATGAATGTCGCTTCTGAATATCCGGATTTGTCCAGTCAAGAACCCCGCAGTACCACAAACAACGACTTAAACAAAAGCAAGTCATCAATATGGCCGTCGAAGTGAGACAATATCATCTTTTCCCCACAAACCTCATCCCGAACTCGCCTTGGCCTCTACTCCACTATAAAAGCGTTTTGACCAAGAATGTCGACTCCTCCCACTGCGACCCAGGCGACGTCTGGGACATGTTCACTAAGAATGAATGGAACGTGAACTGGATATTTCGCTACGGCGACACACAACTGTCCCACTATCATTCAAAAGCACATGAGTGTATGGCCGTGCTTTCTGGAACAGCGAGCATCCGATTTGGCGTCGCCGACACCTCACCAGATATGAACGAGAACACATATAACTCCGCTTGGGAAGAAGGAGGTGTCTTACTGGAAGCTGAAGCTGGGGACGTGTTTATAATACCAGCTGGCGTGGCACACAAGACACATAATACTAGGCCCAAGGCTGACTTCGCACTTTTGTCACCGGGGAAAGGACATGGTATCGAGGCTGACGACCCGAAGAAAGCACTATGCGAAATCAAGTTGGATGGTTTTACAATGATGGGAGCTTACAGTGGAGGTGACTGGGACTTTATTGCGACTGGAGGGAATTTTGAAAAGGTATGGGCGGTTCCGAAGCCGAAGTATGATCCTGTTTTTGGAAGCCAGGAGATTGGGCTTTGTAAAAGGTGGCATGGAAGCAATGAGAAGCCCAGGGCTCGTCTATAAGTCTGTATTGAGTACATTTCGGACCCAAAGAATCAATTTGAATTAGTCAGGTTTACTAAATTGCAAATGTTCGTTCTCGTCTCCAGCATCGAATGTAGTACTAGTTCTAAAACTTCAGTGACAAACGGTTTACGGTTGTAGCAGAAGTATACTACATTATAACTAGTCTATATGAGAAATACCAAGCTAGTCCAAATTGTGCACGCAAATAAATTTGAATTATTAATTCAAAGGAATTACACAAAATTACTGAAACCATGCACCAATTCTGAGAAACGCAGGCTTTGCCTAATGACACCTGATATATGATTACCACGCTCATCGTCGGATAGGTCTCAATTGCTAAATATCTAATGGTGGTGTGGCATTGACTTTTAGGATGATTCTTTTATCAAGTTTGCCAGATGTCATGGACAATTTCGGGAGTAGCATCGAGATGATGTATTTCGATATTGTTGTGATTGAAAATTGCTTGGAGAAAAGAGAAATAGAACTATGTTCGGTACTCTTTTGCCCTACGAATTGCGGCAGAGACCGACGATTCAAGTATTGCTGAGAGTTGGCTCTCTTTCAATCTCGATATCGCTTGACCTGTGATGCTTCCTGGAGCAGACAAAGACCACTGCAGCTGCTCAGGACTTGTTCCCGACAGCATCAGACTTGCCATTCCTCGAATACATTGAGATGCAATGGCAATGGCGTGGTCTTTTGGTATACCTTCCGCGACAGCCTGCTGTGCTATGACCTGAACCGCTGTAGTTGTTAATGCGTTGGAAAACGCACTCATACCAGTTGCGGCATCAAAGTAATCATGGGTAACATGGAAGACCCTGCCGACGGAGTTGAAGATCCACGCTCCTAGCTCCACCGCTTCGCTTTCCAGAGGATTGCTGGACTTGCCAATGAGGGTTGCTGACTCGTGTACCTCCGTTCCCATAGTCGGCATCGCGCGAACAATTCGGAGGTTATCAGCCGTTGAGGCTGCAGGGGTATCTTGCCCATTTATAATCTGAGCTATTTCAGCTCGTGGAGTCCGCGCAAGGATGCTGATCATGATTTTATGCCTCAGCGCTTTTCTCATTTCGGCTTCTGCAAGGACCTCATGTATCTTTTCTGGAGGGAAAGCAAAAAGAACAGCATCTGCATTCTCGACTGCTTCAACATTCTTTCTGCAAAGAAAGTTTGAGGGATCCAATTTGCCATCGAAAGATTTTTGAAGTCGCGTTTGTGCTTCTTTGTCGTTCAACGCAACCGTAATTTTAGAAATTGAGCTCTGAGTCTTAGTGACCGATGGAAGCACGGCTCTAAGAAGAGCACTGCCAATGTGGCCTGAAAAGCTTGTTAACGCTTCAATTCCGAAAAGAGAGGCTATGAAATAACAAAGAGAATGCGATAGGGTTATTTACCGCAGCCGAGAAATGTGAGGCGAAGAGGACGTCGAGTTAGCGCCATATTGGGGCGAAGATGGAGAACAAATTGGTGTTTTCAGAATTCGCGAAGACAAGAAATATGATTGACTTAAGAGCGGAGTGGCATTTGATGTTACCAAAACCAGGCCAATTGGCAAGACCTCGGAAAAGGCGCCCGATAACTTTCCCCACGAGACAAAAGCAAACTGCCAAGTATGCGATTTATCTTTTGCCTACCGGGTCTTGCTTGCATCTTCTGACTTCTGACGTAGTCGGCAATCACAGGATCAGAAGTCCACCAATTTACCCCGAATGAAGCATCGCAGGAGGTGTACCAATAATCATACGGTGGCGTTCGAGGTTAGTTGAAATTTGCTCGGTCCGAATAGTCTCAACTCCCGGCATAACAGTCATTGGGCAGTCGGATGGGGTAGCCGAATCTCGGAAGGACAATAGTCAAACACCGCTAGCAGGACTACTTGTGGCCGGACATGGTGCCCGACTCAGAGTGGCGATGTGGAAGTCCATCTTGGCCGGCCCGAGAAAATACGAAAATACCCCTCTGTCTTCAAACGATAAGAAACCTCTCTGCCGTTCAGACTTCCAGAACTTCATTAGTATCGGAGATTTAAGAAAATCCGTACGATCTGCATATACGTCACGATGCCAGCCGCTCAGTATCCAGAGCCAGCCAACGCCGATGGGGTAAGTTTCTTCTGCAAGAGCCAAACTTGGAGAAATCCTTCCGACATTAACTGGTTTTCAGCTTTCATACGAGCCCGGATCGGAAGAAAGAAAGCTTCTGACGATCGCTCTTGCGCAATTGGAGAACACAGTTGCTGACATCCCAAGCATTGTCAATGGGGAACGCATTTTCACGGGCCGCAAGAGCAAGCAAGTCAATCCTTGGAATCGATATGGCGCTCCCTTGGCAGAATATCACGAACTTGACGCGGAAACTATCAAGAGCAAAGCCATTCCGGGTGCCCTGGAAGCAAGAAAGACCTGGGCCAATATGCCATTTAAAGATCGAGCAGCCATCTACAGAAGAGCGGCACACCTTGTTCAGTCTCCAAAATACCGGTGGAAGCTCGTGGCCGCGACTATGATCGGACAAGGGAAGACATGTGGACAGGCCGAAGGGGATTGCATCGCTGAAGTTATCGATACTTTGAATTTCCATGTCCACTTCTGCGCCCAGCTCTACCAGCAGCAACCGCCGAAACAATTCGAATCCTCGTCCAGTAGATTGGATTATCGGGCTCTGGAAGGGTTTGTGCTCGCTATCTCGCCCTTCAACTTTGCGGCCTTGGGAGCACACATTGCTTTCACGCCAGCTCTCCTAGGCAATGTTATCCTTTGGAAGCCTTCACCCATGGCAGTGATGTCCAACTATATACTGTACGAAATCATGGAGGAGGCAGGTCTGCCAAAGGGTGTGATTCAGTTTTTGCCCGCGGCCAATCCGCGAACAGTTGTTGAGCCGGCCCTTGCCAACCCTCACTTCGCCGGTCTTCATTATACTGGCTCTTCGGCAGTCCTGAGGACCCTTCATGCTCAGATTGGCGCTAACGCCCATATCTACAAAAGCTTCCCCCGCATCGTAGGGGAAAGCGGAGGCAAAAACTTCCATCTTATCCACAACTCCTGCAAAGATGACGTTGACTGGATTGCATCTGCTGCAGTCCGCTCAGCATATGAGTTCCAGGGCCAGAAATGCAGTGCCTTATCCCGTATTTATGTCCCGCAGTCCATGTGGGATCAGGGTGATTTGAGATTGGCATTGGCTCTAGAAGCAGCCAAGATGACACACGGCGACGATGTCAAACAGCTTCACCATGCTCTGGGTCCGCTATGCTCGCAGGATTCGTTCGAGCGATTTCAAAGATTCGTTCAGTGCGCCAAGGATGATGGTCACGAATTAATCTACGGTGGCAACACAGATGGCAGCAAGGGGTATTTTGTCCAGCCTACCATCTTCAAAACCAAAGAAGGTAGCGAGGAATCTGATTTGATGAGCAAAGAGCTCTTTGGTCCCCTTTTCACAGTTCAGACATACGATGATTCCGCCGCAGGTGGCTTCGAGGACGTATGCACGCTCATTGATGGCACATCTGAGTATGCTTTGGCAGGTTCTGTGTTTGCCCGTGATAGACAGGCTATCAAGGTTGCAGATGAGAAACTGCGAGACTCGGTCGGTATGTTTTGCATCAACGACAAAAGCACCGGCGCGGTTATCGGTGCGCATCCCTTTGGTGGAGCTCGTTCAAGCGGAACAAATGACAAGGCAAACTCGGTCAATGTTTTGCTGAGATTTTCGAGCATCCGTTGTGTGAAGGATAGTTATGTGACGGGCAGCACCACTCTGTCTGCTTGCCATATTCCGGAATAATTAGAGCTCAACGGGGATGGGTAAATCAATTCAATTCAACGGTTAAACAAACAATCCATTAAAATCTAGGATATTCTTGACAGTGTATCTAAGTTGGCCGTTGATCAACAGTTCCAATTAAAGCAATCCTTTCATCGAGCGTGCTGGCAACCCCCAAAACATCATTCAAAGTGCCTACAGGGCTTTGGGACATCTGGTATATAGTAGTAGGAATATGAGTATCCCCGTTATTTGGATGGCCTTTCAGCCAAGTTCAAATTTCGACTATGTTATAGCTTTGACATAGCCTGTTCAATTATATTTCGGGGAGAAAATGATGACTGCTTTGACTGCTCAGGTGAAATCTGATCTAAATTCAAAACTATTGCTCTTAAAGACTGAGAACGGATAACCGGTACTTCCTCGAGAACGGCCTTTTGCACTACACCTTGTATCGCCATGATTTATAGAATGGACTCATAACAGTGGTAACAGTCGCAGTATCGATTTGACTGGCAGGATCTTCTACTATATTTGAAAACCCATGAAAACACAGGCTTCAAGCTCGAAATGGTAGGTGAACTAGAATATTGATATTGAACCACCTCGTCGAAATCCCCACTGTTACATGTCTAGGGAAAATCAGGAGAAGATTTCTTCATTCAGCATCTACAAAACATAAATTGACTGTAGGTTCTTCTTTGTCCATTCATAGAATTGTTTGAACTGCAAATATTTATCCTCAGTGGTGCTTTGACACATTTCCGCCTTACATCAATGGGAGTTAATCATAGCATGATAAAAAGAACGAACACTGATATTATATTAACAAATAAACTTGATTTCTCAACGGGTAGAGGACATCTGTTTTGATTTCTCCGCCGCTGCCAGGATGGCAGTTGTGAACGCTGAACGAACTCCTAGCTTTTCAAGTTCCAAGAGAGCTCGAATAGAGCAGCCTCCAGGAGAGGCAATCTTCTCTCGTAGAACACTCGGATGATCTCCTGCAGGTACCAACTTCATCATACCAATCGCACTGTTCACCACCAGATTCTGTACCTCCGGTCTCCTCACGCCCTCGGCGACAGCAGCATCCAGCAATCCATCAATGGCAAGGAGCAGCAGCGAGCCGGCACAACCGACCAAGACTGCACAGATATCAAAAGATTTCTCGGGAATCTGATGAGCTTCACCAACCTGGCCAAATACCCAAGATGCAAGCTCGACGTTCTCCTTTGTGGTGGCGGGACTGGGGGTGTACAATGTCACAGCCTCCCGGATCCTAGCGGCCATATTGGGCATAGCACGTACAGCCTGAAGCGATGATTGACTGTTCGAGTCATAATCTTCACCGAAGGTTAGGCGACTCAACTCAGCGGTGGTAATGCCGGCCATGATGCTAAGGACAAACTTATCACGCAAAGCCTCTTTGAATCCGGGAACTGCAAAGACGTCGGCTCGCTTGAAGGGCTTAAAGGCCAGTAGCACGATATCTGCTTCTTGGACTGCGCGAACATTTTCATCCGCGGTGGAAACTGTGATTCGCGATTTGTGATCGGAAAGGGCAGCTTCAAGGCGGGTTTTAGAGGGTTCGGTTCCGACGGTGCAGATGAGGCGGTTGATTTGGAAAGCTTCACTATCTTTTGGGTCGAGAATACCAGCGGCAATTGCGGTCCCTAGGGTACCTGATTACCGACAATGTCAGTCTTCTTATGCTTTGAGTTGATTGAATGATATCTTTCACTTACCACAGCCAATCACGGCAACCGTTAACTGAGTGGCGTTGATTCCCATCTTTAAAATAATTCACAATCCTCTGGACCATGTTACCAAGTCAAAATATATTTATGTCCTCTAGATTATCCCCCGCACCTGAGCCACTCATTTCATCATACCCGGACCGAGTCAGTTGGTGTCAGGTGATGAGATCTCGGCCCAGAAAGATAGTCGGAGGGCGGACCCGAGGCTTGCTCTTGTGGTGGAACTGCCGGATTACCCGGTATAGAATGACCGAGTAATCCTAGTGGGCTTCGTGGGCGCAACAATCGGATGACATTGCCGTGACTGTTTAACACGCTAGCCGAGCGTTCAAGCCACACCGCAATGGTAAGCAACTTTTCGTTCTCTGACGAGAACGTGGTCTCATACCCAATTGATCATGTCATCGCCTATGATCCCAGTAACGTTAATTTTCAGTTAATAACTAATGCCCAGACACAGGCCCTTTTTGAGAATTGACACCGCACTTCGTCTGCCATTGTATTTTTTTTTTTCAATTTCCTGAATGGTTATATGTGAGCGGTTTCCGCATGATAATTACTAATCGCCATATTGCTACATCTGTCTAGCACCGTAGATGAGCTTCTTACCTAGGCAGAGTACACTCAATAGGACCATGGAATATGACTGGAAATAATGAGGAGCCTAAAGCATTGCTTCAATTTTGCATGGTAACTAGAGCATCTAATTCACTTCAAACTGTCAAAACACAATCCTTACATATAAATCTTATAAGCTTATTTCAATTTTTGAAAGGCAACAACCGACTGCGAATTTCACGACCCAGTCGCACTCTCTCTGCAGCAGCGCCACCTCGTCCCTCTAGAACAGCCTTGTTCTCGGTGGCCCGTCTCGCCAAAAATGGCAGACATTCTTTGAGATCACCGTAACTCATTGACTTTGATATGAATTAGCATGAATGACATCTTTTATCGAGGGCAAATGGATTACGTACCTTGACAACGAGTGGAAAACCTCCCTCAGCGGTCACGGTGCCAGTAATCTTGTTGGTCAAGTCATCTTTCATACCTGTTATGTATTAGAATCATTACCACGAGGAATCCAAAAAGAAAAAATAACTGACCATAAAGCTGCGCAAAGGCGATACTACCAGCAATCTCACCCGAGACTACAAGCCTGTTTGAATCACCCTGGCGCTTAGCCATCCCATATTTTTCTAACAACTCGATCCCGCGGTCAATGCTGATAGAATTGTGGGTGGCAAACACGACACTAATCCTGGAGTGACCAGTCTTCCGTACCTGCTCAGCCACTGTGGAGAGGGTCTTCTCAACTCCATAATTGTAGGAGGCATCGGTTTCTGATTTGGTTTCCCAGACCGGCCCAGGCCCCTCCCTCCCTTCTTCTTTCCATCTGGCAGCTTCAGTGACCATGTAAGCACCTCGAACCTGTTTGAAAAGCAGTTTGTAACCTTTCTCATCCGCGCGCTGAATCTGTTGATCGAGAAGCTGGGGATATCTGCGGAGATAAGCCTGGAAAGAGGCGATACAAGTGGGGGGTCCTTCCAGGGAGTTGTATCTTTGCATGAGTTCGTCGGTTAAAGCGTCAATCACAGGTTGATACCAAGTTTGTTCGGCATCAATCACGATGCGCACGTTGCTGTCTCTTGCCTTTGTAGCAATATTCTCCAATACGGCACGGAGGTTCAACAGCTCTTTTCGGTCCGAGTCTGTTACACTTTCGACCGCCGCTTCCCAGTCACCATCATGGGGCAATCCCGGATAAGGAACATATTTATCCAGACCTTTCTCCTCCCTAGCTCTGAGAATGGCCTGAGAGCCATGGTAAAGGGCACTCGGGTTGGGAAGCAGGCCTGTGACCTTGATTCGGACCCAGCAACGGTTGTCGCCACCAGTAGCACTGGTGTCAGGCCAGAATTTTCGTGCCAACTTTCCTTGAGCTTCGATAGAAGAAAGAACATGTTGAGTTTGTTCAAGAATAAGTTGGGTCTGCTTGCTTGAGCCATCAAGTTCCGCTTCGATGTTGTAGCCGAGGAGGGTACCGATTTCTTCATTGCGGAGGGCCTCAATCTTAGGAAGACATTCCGAGGTCGTTTCACCACCCAGAAATTGATTAAAGAATGTTTGCATCACGATGGCATTGGTGATTGAGGCGAGGATGGGAATTTTGGATAATATGTTGTACAGAGACTCGCTCATGTCGACCCAAGTCGGCGAAGAGCAAAATGCAAAAGCGCTGTAGAAACTTGGTGTCAGTTAATGTTCATATGATCCCATACTTTGGACTTACACCCATCCCGAGAGAAGCTTGGACAGTGGAACTGATGAAAGTGCCCTTTTGTCACATGGATCGTCGATATCCTCGCGCTCGCCACGTCCTGACCACAACAACCCGACAATAGCTAGACTGGTGCCACCTGTAGCATATGCAATATTCCTAGAGCTGAAAGAATATCCTTTGGTTCGACTGTTTTTGCTGTTTGTGGCTTGCGATATTGAAGCTGACGCACTAAATCCACAAAATGCAATCAACGGTCGTCGCCTGACCGCATGAAGCAGATGATTTCTAGCGAGACCAGACATGATTGTACAGCCTGCAGAAGGTAAATTTGTCGGCCTAGAGGTTCAAGTGAGGAAGCAGACATCATCGAAAGATATGGTAACAGCTAGGTGCCTGTTTGGATACTCGGCCCGGCAAGAGATCAGTGCGAGCAAGTTTCCTCCTAACCCTCGGGCCGAGAACCACTCTCGACATCGCTATCGATGTGGTAAAGTTGCCAGTCATAGATAGGCGGGGAACAAGATTGAAATATCTAGCTATTCATTCTTTTCTACCTCTAGCTCGATGATAACAAAAAAACATATCATTGGCGCTGTTATCACAGAGGTCCTTCAATTTCACTTGCACTTGCAGAGAAAGACCATCAGAGGCGGCTTTTTGATTTCTTCACCTAACAGCTCCAGTTTGACTTATTGATGTAGCTCTAAACGGTCAGGACGGACTATTATCAAATCATAAAAAAAACTTAGGTTATCAAGTATATTGTAGAGGTCGTTTCTATAGTGGCAAATTGACGATATTCCCCGCAGTTTTACCCCATTTTCTTTTTCGGTCCGAGATGATAAGCTCGCATTCCACTCCACTGCGGGTTGAATATATTTGTTTAAATTGCGCTTTCAATTGCCCTTTCACTTGCGTTTGGAATGTATCCTCTTATGCATACTCACATTACAACATGAATCAATCCAAGAAAGACCAAATTCACGACGGCGAACATGATATCGACAATGGGGGTTGCCACGAGTTGAACCCCGATGAAAATTCTAAAGCTCTCTTCCAGGCACCGCAAGACTTGTTCAACAGTGAAGAGGGTGAAGTCAACTTCCGGGGCGTCTCATGGCAAGGAGCTGCTATCCTAATCGCCAAATTTCAAATCGGACTCGGTGCCCTCAGTCTTCCATCCACTTTCCATGTCTTGGGGTTCTTCCCCGGAATACTATGTTTCGTCATTTTGGCTGTTATCACAACTGTGGCCGGTTATGTTAGTGGAAATGCCAGGCAGTACTATCCCCAAATGCACAGCATCGGTGACGCCGCTGAGTTGCTCTTTGGAAAAGGAGCACGAGAATTTATTGGGATCATCTACTATATATATCTCGCTCTTGTCGCCGGAGCAGGTATGCTCACCACGTCTGTGGCACTTAACGCACTTTCGAATCATGGAGCTTGCACTATGGCCTTTGTCGCCGTCGCATGCGCAGCTGCTTTTATCTTCGGAACTGGTTTCCGTTCTCTGGAAAAGGTAGCCTGGATCAGTTGGATCGGCGTGGCCGGCATCGTCTTCGCTATTTGGATAACCGCAATCGCCTGCCTCGCTAGAGATAGACCTGCGGGGGCTCCACCTGGGCCGATCAATCTGGACATTCGTGTTTTGCCTCAGGCAAGCTTTACTGAGGCTATGTCCGCAATATCCACCCAGCTCTTTGCTTTGGGTGCGTCAGGAACCTTTTTCTCCGTTGCGGCTGAGATGAAGGAACCCGAAAAGTTTACTCGCTCTCTCATTTATGGCCAGTCCTTTATTGTTTTAACGAACATTGCCATTGCATCCATCATGTATGGCAAGATTGGCCAATACCTCGTAAGCCCCGCTCTGGGCTCAGCTGGGGATTTGATCAAGAAGATATCTTACGGCATTGCGTTTCCCGGATTACTGGTGACTGCCATTCTATGGAGCCACATAGCGGCCAAATATTGGTTCGTCAGAATTCTCCGCGGTACACGGCATCTTCAATCTAATACAGTCACCCACTGGACTGTTTGGATTGGGTCTATGGCCGTGACTGTTGTTTTTGGATTCATTGTTGTCGGTGTCGTGCCTTTCTTCGACGACTTTCTGAGTTTGGTCGGCGCACTCATAAATCCTGTGTTTACTAATGTCCTCCCTGGTTTCATGATTCTCTTCTATTTGGGAGCAAATCCCAGCAGAGCAAGCGATAGTGTTCGGAATGTCGAAACGGGAAATGTAATCTCGCCAATGATTTGGTTACCAAATGCTTTCAAAACATATCGGAATGGGTGGAAGCAAGCCTCGGCGCTTGTTGGTGGAATTTTCATGATACTCCTGGGAGCTTTCATCATCGTCGGAGGCACTTACTCAACTGTCTTGAGTATTCAGGCTTCATATCATGATGGATCAGTATCGGGCGTCTTCTCATGTGGGGATAACTCTTAGGTGTTGATAAAGAGATCTTGCGTTCGGTAAACTATGTATGTATCAGGGCAAATAGCAGTATCAAATTTAATCTTATCTTGTATTCAGCATTTACCAAAGATGACAGCTAGTATATCCAAAAGTTCAATGTTCATGTCTATAATTTCAGCTAAAGTATGGATAGATGGACGCCTTCGTTTACCCTGACCCCTTCCGACGTGATATATAGGCTACCACAATTAGATATCCATGCGTACATGTGTCCTTTGCCACTTCTAGATTGACGGGTCATTGTCAGTATTATCTCTTCCCCTCACAAGGTAACGTTATATATGTTAATTTCTAACCCGATTTACGTCATTCCAGTTGCGTACGCCTCAACTCAATTAGATAGCAGGCATATAATACTGCACAGGGAACCTCCAACCAAGTATTGAGGTCATGAAGTTCCAGTGATGAAGAGTCGATCAAACGTATAGCGCATATCTATCTTTCCACAGAACGCTTATCAGCATGCTCGGCAGCGTTCGGACCCCGCTTCCTTTGGACAGCAGTTGTCCGGCTGGTACCTCACTCTGGCCCCTTTGGTCTGAGCAAAGACAAAAAGTCGGAACTTCCTTTTTGGCAGACCTGGGAATTGGCGGGGAAAACATGGGGAAATTGACGTATAATAACATCGGTGATCAACCCCGAGCTCCGACTGTAGCCGAGATAAGACCACGTAACTATGTTTTCTGGGCACAGCAGATAGACCGGGCCGAGGGAAATGGCAGTAAGATTAGATAAAGTTAGAGACCGAAACGCGGAAGGGCCATCCGACTTCCCCGCCCGGGTCGCTGCCCGTAGATTATGCTTCAACTTCGGCGCCAAAAGATGAATGCCTTTGAATATATAAATACTGAATAAGATCAATGCGTATCAATTAATCAATTGCCTTCATCTTCAAACTTCCAACCCAAACCAAACGTCAATCGACAACCCTTGAACACATCAACATGCCAGGCCGCCTCGAAGGAAAGATTGCCCTTGTATCGGGCTCAACCCAAGGCTTCGGACGCGGAATTCTTGAGACTTTCGTTCGCGAGGGTGCAGTCGTACTTGGACTGGACCTCCAGGCCACCGATGGTCCCGTTGATGGCTATTCCGAGGACGTGGCCTATCAGATCAAAGCAAATGTTGCCGAAGAACAAAGTTGGGTCAAAGCGGTAATAAGCCAACCTCCCTCCTTAACCCGTCTTTCACTTGCTAGTTCTATGATACTGACTTTGTTCGTATAGCTCGAGACCTCGATCTCAAAGTTCGGCAAAGCTCCATCAATCGTCGTTCACAATGCCGGCTGGTCGTACCCCAACAAGTCTGGACTCGACGTGACCGTGGAAGAGTTTGACCGCCTATTCAACGTCAACGTCAGAAGCATCTACCTCGCCTCAAAAGTCCTTATTCCCGAAATGAAAAAGAATGGCCCTGGCTCCACCGTTGTGATTTCTAGCGAGAATGCTATCCGCCCCGGTGCTACCCAGACATGGTATAACGCTACAAAGGCCGGTGTTTCTTCGGCTACAAAGTCTATGGCCTTGGAATTTGCCAGAGACCAACTGCGCTTCAATACTATCTGTCCGACCTCCGGAAACACACCTCTGTTGAACAAGTTCGCTGGTATTGCAGACGGGCCAGTTCCTGCAGAGATCATCAAGGCAAAGTGCGAGTCAATTCCAATCGGTCGCCTTGTCGAGCCGTCTGATGTTGCGAACGTCGCTCTCTTCCTAGCGGAGCCTGCAAGCTCAATTATTAGCGGCGTTGAGATTCTGGTTGATGGTGCACGCTGTGTATAGAGACCATAAGAATTGAGGTTGGGCTTGACACAGGTTACCAACGGACTTTGTCAACCCTGTCGTTCCCTACTTTTGGGCCAGGCCTTTCTAAGCTACTGATATTGTGACTACAATTAAAGACATATTTCCGTAAATAGAATCAGATCATCACACTTGTACCTCGACTTGGAGTTGACTCGCTGAAAAATATATAGACATAGAAGGACATTTACACATTGAGATTTGTATAAGTTCTATGTTGAGATTCATGGCTTGCTCAGGCATCTCCAGGCATTAAATGCCCGCTTCGCCAAAGCATGAAGCTCATGATCAGCATTCAACCTACCATGTATAGGATAGTTCAGGGGAAATGCTTCACATTAAATAGGATCTCTCCTTCATGAAGGAGAGATCAGACTTAAACCACCTCGTTGGCCTTGACCTACAAGCGTACTGGCATCATTCATCGTATTCTCCATTCAAATTTCAACATTCTAGCTATTTACTTATGTGGGAAGCAGGCATTTCAATCAAATTATAGTCATTAGCATATACACTGAATAATGCCTTTCAGGTGGACCTGCGTAGGGCAGATCTTGCTCGTGCTCAGTGAACATGATCGCTGTTGTTCCTTTCCCTAGCCGGCCGTTTTGGTGAGGTATAAGTATTTAGCTTCATAGTGCTATTCATGATATTCGACAAAATCAGCGATGTTGCTAGTGATTACCTTAGTAGCTCGATGATAGAGACTCTATCATCGAGCGTCCATGGGAGGTACCCCTACTATATTGGACGTGTCAATTGTATTGAATTACAACCCATCAAATTGTGTCCACTAGGAGAACCATATGGGGACAGCGGGAATAATTTTTATTTGGCGACCAACTTTGTGAGCAGATGAATAGTGCATTCGCTGAAACGACCATTTAAAATGGTTTTTGGAGGGCCCCTTATCTAAAGAAGCCGTTAATCCTTACAGTAACGACGTCCAAGAAGTGGACTCACGCTTCCTTTTTCTAAGCTTCCCTGTGAAGGGCTGAAGCCTTGATTCAAGCTAACTAAGCCAACATGCTGTTTATCAAAAGCTTAAGGGAAAGAAGTTCAACATGGAGATCGGCGGTGTAAACAAGGTGAGTTCGCGTGGTTATCACGTGATGTGGACCGGGCCTGGCCCGTTACATTCCCGTCCTGTTGAGAGGATGATCCCATGCGCTTCATCGCAGAAGGATGCACAAGAAAGTCACCTTGATGTTGGCAACGGTGATTGGCATTCATTACGTTTTCTTCCTGTATTATAGCCCCCGGATACTTGGAAAAGGAGGTACATAATCTATACAAGAAATCGGTGCTAGGTAAGTTCATACGTTTCAGCCGGCACCAGAGCCCGTCACTCAGAAGGGCATCCGAGAGCTTGGGGTAAAATCTCCAATCTATTAGTCTCGCTGATGTGTCCACCGGCCCGAGGTTCTCTTGCATACGTATCTCGGCCCGAAAGCATCCACTTAGTCCTCGCCCTTGGCCGGGGGTGTCCCTCGAAAATTTAGAGGGCGAACGAGCAGAACAAATATAACTTATTCGGAAAGCTAGTGACGTAGTTGCATGATATGCAATTCTGACGTGTTTGTAGAGTTTTCCCCTTTCCACTGCCTTCGTAGCAAGATAAGGCTTAAAGCTTTGTTATTGGGGAAGTGCAGTTTATTCATAGTGATGGTCATACTGTTGCTATGTCCAACTAATTGACGTGCCTTTTTTAGGCTTCGAAGCCGTCGGGAAACCTCCCTAGCACCTTGACTTACCTACAGCTAGTCTGGGCAAATAATAAATTGATGTCGTTACAAACGAAATTAATGAGAAAATAGACAGACTGACGCTAATTATAAACATAGGAATTCGGATTGCAAGAAAACCCCAGAGGCACTAGTAGCATACCCTATGAAAAGGTCTTATCTCTAAGGAATGAATGACACCCCTCTAGGCTTGACTTTTTTTTCTTACATGGTAGCTCCTCAGCTTGTAGAAAGGATCCAGCGCGAAGTCCAATAGAATTGCCCAAACCGGAGTCTTTCCAACCCGTCCACGCTGTTGTGATCTGAGGATATTCACCAATTGAGCCTTGGCTTCGTGAAGCCACAAATAAATAGAGTGAATAAGACCTTATCTCATGCATTGAGATGCGATACATCGAATGCACCGACTTGAGATGACAATTCAGGGGTTTTCCACTGCTGATGTATTTTACCATTATATATAGAGATACCCCCCATTTGAGGATCAGACTTAAATCATCTCTTTATGGCCAATCAGTTTATGGGCACTTCTCTATCATTCATTGTAAATCACAACGCACGCAAAGTCCTATATATGGCTTATCGATGTATATATCATCTACATTATTGTTAGAAAGCTCGCTATGAATCTCATAAGGTTGGGGATGACTTGATCTATTTCATTTCTAAACCCCTATGACTGTCAGATAGAAACACAAACAAAAACCAAAAGATTCCTTTCGTCAAATTCCGAACATATGCTCAAACACTCAAACGCGAACCAAAATGAAAAACGCCCCGCATGGAGCCCATATACCAAGCAAAATGAAAATACGAAGCGCAGCCATCCACCCTGCCGCTAATATATGCAGATTCGTTGAGCACATTTGGTGCCTGGATAATTCCACACCAATCCAACCAAGCTTTTAGTGTCGCTTAAACGGAAGCCACCTCCAACTCCGACTTCACCAAGAATGGCTGCAGCTCACTTGGATACCAGTAAGCAAAACAAATCATGGCGATAAACATGGGAACTGCATCCAGAACATAAGTGGGCCATTCATTTGCCAGCAAATACCCATCATTGCCCAATCCATATTCAATGACACGGAAAACCGAGCGAAGCAGGATCATAGAACTGACGGTGTACAAGCTGAGCAAATGCTTCTTCCAAGGCGAACCACCTTGCGTAGCTTCCAGAGTAGGATTCGCCCTCATGCGAATGTCAAACACAATCGCGGTAACCAGGAACAAGACGAATGTGAGGATTTGCAAAATCAGACCCGCAAGAACAATGTTCTTGCCCATCTTGCTCATGCTGCTCTCGGCCATCATGCCGGCGCCACTACCCTGGATGAGAAAGGTGAGGATATCACAGCCGACGAATATCTTTGTCACCCAGTTGATGCGAATAGGAGAGTATTGCTCGGCGTTAACGCTGCGGATAATGCGTGCGAGAACCATGTAGACCGCGGCGGCGAAGAGGATCGGCGCGAGAAGGAGAAAGACGCTCTGAATAACGTAGGGCATCAGCTCACCGGTCTTGCCATGGGCGGCCACTCGGGCAGCGTAACCGATGATTTCGACTTTGAAATCAATATCATTAGTATGTCTGTTGACAATCTAAAATTTTGAAAGATATGAAAGACTTACACAGCCCGCCAATGGCAAAGGGAAAGGTAAAGCGATCCTTGGTTTTGAATAGCTTCCAAGAGTGGAATGCTGTAATGGCGAAGAAGAGTACAGTGAAGATCACTCCGGCTGCTATTGAGGGAACATAATGCCAGAGGTAGTAGCCGTTCGTCATGGGCTCCAACTTCACCATTTTGAAAAGAGACGTCGAAGAAGAAGACAATATTGTAAGTATATGATGGTCTGATTTGAAGACAGCGGTAGAGTCGATATGATGGGGTTGGTAGGTTGACAATTGAAGGTTTGAAGTCTTGTCTTAGTCTTTTGAGGTAGATTGAGGGCACTTATGGCCAAAATGTCGACTCAAGGCTTCCGTTATAAATGGCCACTCCAGTGCACATTCTATAAAAAGCCGATGGCGCAGCAGCTTTCAAAAATTTTCTATCACTGAATACCTTATCTGCTCACGAGTACGACCATCTGTGGTCCTTGCGTGCAGGTTTACAAGAGTACCGGAGTTTAACTAGCGGTAAATCTAAAAGAATAGTCAAGACGCTCATCTGCTAGACCAATATGGTTAGAAACTATGTGCAGCCAATCGGGTGGTCAACGTAGTCGTATTTGACTATGGACCCACTGCAAGTTCTTGGCGATCCCTCAACCCTGTCTGTGCATGGAACGGCGCATTTAACACCCAGTAAGATTGGATATCATCTTAATAGGGGCACCACTCAACTACTGCGAATAAACTGCTCTCACGGAACTTCTATCGTCCTTTTCCCTCGTGAAGCAATATTTCCCAGTTTGTATTTATCCAGCAGCAACAGGAATTCAAGGAAAAGTCTATTTTACGTGAGTCCCTTGCTCTACCAGCTTGTAATAACTGTTCATGTGCCCACGTTTGATCCGACTCGGGTTTCAATAACCGTTCCCGTGGCGAATCAATTAACCCCACAGAAGGGAAAAAAATGACTATTTACCATACCTCGGCATACGATACAGTGACCAATAAGAAAGCGCACGTACTCGTAACCTTATTGCATCATGTGGGGCAATATAAAGTTCTGTCCTTTAGCATAAAACAACTAAATTCTTTTTTCGGAGTGAAAACAACAGAAATAGAACCATTGGCGATTGATGTAAGAGGTAAGTACTCTTCGGTAACATAACTATCCGAGCTGAACATAGACTTGTGTTTGAAGCAAGACCTAGCTACTCTTCTGTACTCTTTACTCTTTGTGCCATACAAGTCTGCACGTGAGAGCAAGCGAGCTCAATCTTGTGGTTCAAGCTCTCGAAGGACTGTAAGGCATGCTTGTAATCTTCGTAATAACCTAGAAGGCGGGGTAATATCTTGTATGTGCATTGGGACTGGGTTTGAGCGGTAAGAAATAATAAGCACGCCACACAAGAGACATATAAAACAAAATGGAGGTGCTCTGAAACAGCTCTACACACTGGAAATTTCCTCTCGGCTAGTACGCTTCAATGTACAGTCCTGAGAAGGACCAGTATTCTTTTTAAGAGTTGGAGTCATTCGCAAGTAGAATGAGAGTTCTCCCGGCATGTTCTAAAGAAATATGTATCGAGCGCAGCTGTGTCATGCTCGCTGCATACGGCTTCGACGGATATTCACCTAAACGTGTGGAATTTTTGTCTGGTGCCTTAAACAATCGCTTTGTAGGATGAGGGGTCTTCTCTTTCTCCCATTACTTTCACTAACGGTCCTTAGTCTTCTCCGAACTGCGCGGCCGTGACGAGCCGAGCCGTGGGATTATCCGCTCCAGTTTCGGGCGGCATCCCCGCGCCTTGCAATGTCGCTCCTTTCGCTTCGACATACCCATTTGAGTCTTGGTTGAGTTTTCCAAACCGAGCCCGGCCATGGTATTGCTGACTAAGCCCTACCCCTGACCAGGGTCTGGTATGAGGTGATATAGATCACGTGACAGAAAAGTGGAAAAAAATCGCTTGAATTTTGGGTCGAAACCAAGAAAGAGATCAAGCCGTGCTCAAACCGCTGGTTCAAAAGGGCCGGGGTCATGAACACGGTCAAACGGACAAGAAAGGGGACTATTTAGGTGCTCCAACACGTGAGTTTTGGCATTGGATTCTGTTTTAAACTCGCGACTAAATCACGTGGATCCTTTTGAAGGCTAATTTACCAGGTTTGTTCATGGCAAGAAATTTTAAGTAAAACACATCTCATTACAGACCATGAGGCAAATTTCTTCCCATTTACTTCATTCACCGAACATCATCCACTGTCTTGTTCCAAAGGACTCGCGGTCCTCATCCGGCTGTGAACTTATTCTGCAGCTTCTTACCAGTCAGAATGCCCTTAGGTCGACGGTCGCACAAAAAATCCAGAAATGGATGTGTGAGCTGTAAGAAGCGTAGGATAAAGGTAAAGCACAAAACTTCGAGAGCGTGTACCATTTCCTACCTATCATGCAACAGGACTGTGTTCATTGTGCCCGCTTCCCATGCCATTTGTCTCTTAAAAGACCATTACTGAATTATTTCAACAGTGTGATGAGGGAAAGCCCATATGCATGAAATGTCTTCAGCATAGAATCAAATGCGATTTTAGCGAGCCTCCAGCACCATGCGTTCGGAAGTCTAGCTCACCAGTCCCATGTCAAACATTCATCCAAAATAGAGGTGAAGCCGCGCCATCTCCTGCAATATCATTTCAATCATGTTCAAGTCTGCAACCGCTACCGGATGACATTGACACAACGGATTTCAAGCTTCTCCATCATTTCACCACATCGACCTACCGCACCCTATCCGCCCAAGCTGAGCTACAATCTGTATGGCAACAACAAGCTCCCGAGCTAGCATTCTCAAACACATTCCTCTTGCGGATGATGTTCGCCGTATCCGCCCTACATCTCTGTCGCACAACATCTAATACGCATTATCTTCCATATGCACACCAACAATATGAAGCAGCACTACGGTCCTCGTCCGTAGGCCTTTCAGCGATTTCTCCTTCCAACTGCCATGCACTATACGCCTGTGCTGCTCTTGGATTTATCTTCGAGCTTGGCGCTTCCAATAACGTTAAAAATGTTCTCTACGCCGCCGACGGGGCCCTGGCGCACTGGACCGTACACGTGCGAGGCGTGCGAACAATTATAGAATCCTCCTGGCATGATCTGGATTCCGGAGTGTTGAGTCCTCTTCTACATTGCGAATCTGGTCAAGGAGGTGTAGAAAATATTGAGACCTGCTTGAACCAGTTTGCGGGACATATACAATCAGCAGGCATTGAAAATGAGAGGCTTTCTTTGTATTTAGAGGCTATTCAGGAACTCGTCAAGTGGTCGAAGATGGTGGAAGTGGGTTTTTTTGCATGGATGTGCCAAATTACCGATGGGTTTTTGAATCTGTTGGCAAAGAAGGATCCTTACGCTCTAGTGATTTTTGCTCACTCATGCGTTCTTTTGGAGTACGGAGAACCGAAATATTGGATTGGAGGATGGGCCAAGAGCTTGCTGAGTGAGGTATATGAATGCCTGGATCCATCTCTAAGGGTGTGGTTAGAATGGCTGTTCACATGGACAAAACGAGTTTGACTTGATAAGAATTGACAGGAGAATGTTTGTTTCAGTCCAGTAAATGGGGTAGGCCCGGGGGTGTCGGATTTCTGATGGTGTCTTGTCTTCTGCCTTCGAAGTAAAGTGCAGAGTAACGTAATTCACCACCAAGCGGCCACCCTTAATACCCCATATTTAACGCCATAGTTTACAATTTTATATCTCAACAATAAGAGCTATATTAATAGTAAAGACTAGTTTTTAATTTAAATACAAATTATTACAAATTTAAGAAGTTAAGTGTATTTCACCTTAACAGGGACTAACGTAGATATATATTTGTTATAATCCTGAAAATTACAGCGTACTTTAGTGTACCACGACTAAATCATGATTTAAGTTACCTGAAATTCAATATGAAGCATTATCTTACGTTGAATCGATAGTCCTTCGAAAATGAAAGCGAAAAAGGCTGCTGTTGTTAAGATATAAAGATGGAAAATATCGCGTTAACCATGGGGTATTAGGGGTAGCCACTCGGTGTTAATGGCCGCTCGGTGGTGAATTACGTTAAAGAATGTAAAAGGAAGTTAGGGGCTTGCTTCGCCCACCAGTCTATACTTACCTTCAGGAGTGCGTCGATCTTGAGAGCAATTATCTATCACATAGATTGCCAGTAGTCCTATTCTTATGGACTTTTCCCCAAAAATAAATAACGTATTTCACTACCGAGCTGGCCACCCCAAAAGTTCCCTACTGTAGTGGTGGAACCAGTGACAGTAGTACATTAGTGGCCTGAGGTATCACAAATGCCCTAGGAGATATGCAGTCTTCTCCATCGAGAGATAAGAGCATCATCCGTGGCAGCGATTTAAGCCTCAATTTCACGCTAAAGACGCCGCGTACTATAAAGAACGTTCGCCTGCAGGCTTCTTCTATTAAGAAATTGTTACAAGAGAACCTATCGCGCGCGGATAAAGCGTTTAAGCAGACTGTGAAAGGTGCCTGTTTAGCTGTACACGGCGCCGCCATTTTACGGTAGGAAAACCAGGAATTACGCGCCGCTAATACGAGAACTACCTAAAAGAAGAAGCGTACGAGCAAGGGAATAGCTCACGAAGGTGGCATATTAGTTTTGGAGGCTATAGAGATAGTATCAGGTCTAGGAATAGCCGACGAAACTAGGTGGCGATGGCGGTTCATCACCGACTCCGAATCAGGCCAACAAGAGGAGGCCACAGTGATGCAGTATTTGTAAAACGCCTGGACATAAGAGAAATAGGTGCCCAGGGAGGTGTGAATAGCTTCATTTTTAATTACATGGCGTTGTGGTGCTTATTTTTGCAATTCAATGGTACTATGCTTGGTGGGTGGCCAGCTCGGTAGGGAAATACGTTAGTCGTTGTTCATGCTGTTGTTTATGCTGTTGGCCAGAGGGCAGAAGTGAATCATCGCCCCACCAGACGCGCTGAAGGTACGAGTACGTGAGCTTTTTGATTGGCCAATGCGTAATACATCATGGATGGGTATGGGATATAGACATTTCCTCTCCTTCGGTGGGGTTTAATTAGTTCGCCACCAAAACGAGTTTGAGAACCAGAAGCGGCAAGAAGCCGAGTTAAAAAAAGCTCATTCCAAGCTAAAAGAGGCATAAAATCCTACATAATAGAGACCTTCTCTCGGACTCTTTTTCTTCAACGGTTCCAGAACCTTTTCACGTCATTCGTTTTGTTTATCAAGCCTCTGTCTTTCACTCGCTTAGCCTCATTCTTTCTCATTCCTTTTCAGAGACAGCAAATACTATCCACGTTCATCATGGGAGACTGGTCTTTTTATGACTACAGCCCCACCAAGGTGGGAGCGGTCATTGCGATCATCTGCTACGGAATCAGTGCTGGCTACCACGTCTTTCAACTGGTAAAGATGAAGTGCTACTTTTTCACAACATTCACCATTGGGGCAATAAGTGAGTTGGCAGTTGTATACACAGTGTCGATCCTACTAGCTAACCTGATGGGTATAGTGATGACTTTGGGCTATATACTTCGTGCCGCTTCGGCCGGGGACACGACCGCCTTGGCCCCCTATATCGGACAAAATGTCTGCATCTTACTCCCACCCTCTCTTTACGCCGCTACTATATATATGATATATGGACGTATCGTGATCTACGCCGGAGACCCGAAACTATCCATTGTGTCGCCGCTAAAAGTGACCAAGATTTTTGTGATTGGAGATGTCCTTGCATTCCTGACACAGGCCTCCGGTGGCGGTATGATGGCGATCTCCTCTATGGCGCGCATGGGACAGATCATTACCATCGCCGGCCTTTTTATCCAACTTGTCTTCTTTGGGGCATTCCTCACGATCTCGATTATATTTGGGCGGCGGGTTCAGCAGACCAAGACGGCGCTGCGTGGCTTGCCGTATGGAACTTTGCTCTATATTTTATTTGCTGTCTCGGGTTTGATCATCGTTCGGTGTCTTTATCGCATTATCGAATTCTGCCAAGGGAATGATGGGTACCTGATGAAGCACGAGGCATTTATGTACGTTTTTGACACGATCCCAATGTTTGCGGTTCAGGCTGTCTTTCATTTCTACCACCCCGGGAAGGTACTTGGTTCGAGGGGTTATAATGGGGTGGGAACGGAGTTGCGGTAGCTTAGACTTAAAACTGGGAGGTTGTGATACCGGATGGAATAAAATTTATATGCAAACGATATCTAAATGAGGTCTTTCTTCCCTTCACCATACCAAGATATTGAAAGAGTAAGTCAGGGTGTGCTTTCATGTGAATCTAATCTATCCAGGTTTACATTCTATGATAGAAAACACTTAGAAAACACTTGGCCAGCTATTGCCTTCAGAATAATACAAGCCTACACGAAGTGAATTTAAACATTCTCAGCCAGTTTCCCGCTCCCTTAACGTCACATTGCTTACAAGCCTGAAAGCCAAATTTCACCTACCAAAATGTGCGGGGCCATCCACATTTCTAGCACTTTGGCACGTGTAATATAATTTTGCTTGCATGGGCTTCGAATGCTAGGTTGATTTGGGCAACATCCGAGGACATCTTTGTTGGCATTATCAGCCAATCGGATGGTGGACGTAGTCGTATTTGACTGTGGGTCCAAATCCACTTTGAGTGCCGATCCCTGCACCCGTGTAGCACGGAAGGGGCGCATAAAAACCAGGTAGATTGTATAGTGCCTTGATAGTAGTTACAGAATGGAGACCGTTGGGGTTTAATCAGCCAACAAGAATATACTATGTTTTTCCTTCCCCTATTCACTGCCAAGCAATATTTCCCACGCCCGCTAGCTATAAAGGCCACAATGTACCCCCGACGCTCATTCACATACATTCGTCCTTTACTTGTCTTTGCGAAATCCTTCCGCAAAATTCTCCAATTCCAGTCACTTTACTCTGATGTGGATACTCAAAGCAGCAACAGTCTCTGCACTGTTCCTTACACAGGCGTTGGCGTTGGCCGATCGTGTTTACATTCCGCCTGCGTACCACAATGGCAGTGTGAGGGTTGAAGGCCTGTCAGTGCCAGGAAATCTCGATGGGTTCAAGATGAGAACCGCGGCCAACCGAACATCTTTTGACTTCTGGTACTTTGATGCCTTCTCAAAAACAACTGGTGCGGCTATAAACATCGTTTTCTTCAATACGGGGGATTTCGCCGAAAATCCAAATCCCCTGGCAGTTCAGATTTCCGGTACTTACGATAATGGTACCGAATTCTTTGCTCAGGCATTAGCCTCTAAGGGTGCTGTTCTGAAGAACGACGAAGAAGGTGTTTCTGGCGACTGGAAAGGCGCTGGTGCTAGTTTCAGTGGAACCAATCTGAACAAGCCTAATGTCACGTATGAAATCATACTTGATTCTCCAAGTATCGGCATTAAAGGAACTTTTGTCTTGAAGTCGGTAAGTGGATATTCCCCCTTGCATATTTTTAGACAAGGTTCTTACATAGATTCACACAGCGCGCTCCCGCTCACTACCCTTGCAACATGAACGTCGAAGGCATGAATACGCTCCTTTTGCCCCATTTGCATTGGTCAAACGCTGTTCCAGACGCCCAAGCTATCGTCAATCTGGACATTAATGGCACCAAATTTAGCCTTACTGACGGCGTTGGATACCATGATAAGAATTGGGGCGATAAATCGGTGATTACCAGTCCAAAGTACTGGGATTGGGGACATGCCCAATTGGGACCCTTTTCACTGGTCTGGTATGATCTCCTCGACTACAACAGCACCGAACACACCTATGCGTACGTCGCAAAGCATGGTGACGTTGCCCTGGCCAGCTGCGCCAAAAATGCTGTAAAGGTTCGTCAGTGGGGTGCCAATACAACTTACCCGCCCTCCTTTGGTATCTCGAAGGCAGCCGGCTTCACTGCTCGCTTTGATCTTGGGGGCGGGCAAGTTCTGGTTGCAAACTTAACCAAGGAGCAAATTGTACACGATCAGATTGTTTACGCTCGTGCACTGGGCTCCGTGACGGGTGGGATTGAAGGGCAGCAAGTCTACAAGGGACGCGGTCACTATGAAGAGTTTATCTATGGGATCTTGTTCTAGCTGAGTACATTTGAAAAGAAGACTCGGGTTTCAGGGACTTTCGGACCGCTTAGGAAATAAAACCACCGTCCTGGGAGCCCATCAGACTACTTCAGAAATGCTTTTCCGCACCCCGGGACCCGCAGATACAATATTACAATAAGAATTGCGGACCGGTCCCTAGAGACCGTGTTATAAATTCTGGAAACCTGTTTTGTCCTCTGTCCTAGAATATATTTGAAATCAAGCTGATGTGTTAGAGCTGTCTCTTACGTTGTTAGAAAAATTTAAAGTAAGCCTGAACCACTTTCTCCAATATTTATACAATCTGTCTGTACCCACATTCAAGTGATGCACGTTCTTTTACATTTGAATAACCTCCAGTTTATAAGGAATGGAATCTTCAAAAGGTGGCTATGATGATGAAGTTCCGAAAATACGCTGCCGTACAGGCTGCATGTAGGGCGCAGTGACTACAGAATGGCGAGGCGTTCACCATTCTTTGTTGCTCTCAATCTCATTTTCCATCAAAATTCTGCTGTGACAGGGAATACTTTCCTAAATTTTCGCCACTTTGTTTTACATGTACGTTTCCTTCCTTTCCCATTTCAAACTAGATGAGCAATATCTGGCTGGGGAACGAAATTACGCAAAAGTAATATTTGTTCGTAGCCCAAAGGACACGCGGGCTACCGTAACTATATGTCCTTGCAAGTAAATATGATATGTACCTTCCTGGGCTTGAATGTATGCTATGACAGTAAACTAGCCGTTACCACAAGCTCTTCACGTTTTGCAACTTTCGTGTCTGGCTATGAATCCTCGCGTTCTCCAAACTTTTTTTTGTTAGACCACTCTTTATTGTTATATAAGGAATGATAGAACCTGTCTAGTATATTTGGTCGAAAGGAATTGTGCGCTTACCTGTACAGTAGCACTGAGATCTTCAGCGTAACCACGGCGCATTTGACAGCATATTGAATTGCCTTCGTTTAAGAAACTGCCATAAAGCCTCACTCAACCATCTACCAGATTTAGCTCCAGATCTGCCTTTGCCACAATATCTCTGGAACTGAATCCAGCCCCCAAAGAGAATCTGCCCTTTGGTATGACCCACGACTGGAAGCTCGTGTCCCAGTAGCTGACATCACGCCTAAGCAGTTCGAACGTAACATCTTGTGACTTCCCCGGTTTTAGGAAAACTTTTTCGAACCCTCTTAGGACCTGTAATGGGGTCCCTTCAGGTGTCGATCCTTGCGGCATGGATACATATAGCTGAGGCACAGTCGCACCCTCCTTGGATCCAGTATTGGTGACGGTTGTGGTAACTCGCAAAATTGGCTCCCAAAGATCAGGATTGCCGCCCGGTTGGACTTCGTGCGAAGGATCGGGCTTAGATGTAAGATGAGAGTTCAGCTGCTTAACCTTAAGGTTTGATTTCATCCCAAATGTCGTATAACTTAAACCAAAGCCGAATTCAAACAGAGGCTCGATGCCAGCAGAGTCCAATTTCCGATAGTCGATCATTTGGCCCTCCACAAAGTCATCTTGCCAAGCTGTTGGGGATGTGACCTGACTTTCTGTCAGATTCACAATTGGGATATCATAATCCTTGGGGTTCTTGGCAATAGAGTATGGCAGTCTCCCTGATGGATTGACGTCGCCCCATAGAACGTCAACAATAGAATTGCCTGACTCCTGGCCGGGAAGATGGGCCGCTATAATAGCTGTGACATTCACGTTATTGGCCCAAGGCATAGAGTTGATGCCAGCAGAGTGTGTGACGACAATGGTGTTAGGGCACATGCTCGCTACGTTCTCAACCACAAGGGTAGAATTCCAGTCAGCTTCATATGTCTGCCTGTCCATATTCTCGGCCGCAAATGTGTTAAGGAAGACTAAGCAGACATCCGGGATAGGGAACAAGCTTGAAAAGTCCCCAGCGGCAGTAATGGCGTTGTGAAGAATGTACTGGACCCGGCCTCCAAACTTCTTGGCACGGGCCTGGATAGCTTCCAGGGGGGAGACGAGATACGTGTGACGCACTGTTCCGGCGCCAGCACCAATATCAAGCGTCCCGATCTCAAAATGCTTAATAAAAGTCAATCCATCGCTGGAACTGGCCGCATCATTGCCAAAAACTCCAATGTTAAGAGGGGCCTTGAGTGGAAGAGTCGAATTGACGTTCTTCAAAAGAACACTTGCTTCCGCGCCGATCTTACGGATGAGCTGATGATGGTTTCCGCGAACGTCGCGACTCTTGGGGATTGGTGTAGGGAGGTAGTCAAGTACGTTTGACCAGGCCGCAAAGCTATACGCTAGGGACGGATCTACCGTGGGGTAGCTCTCTCGGTCTTGGCCAAAGTAGAAGTAGGGGGTCATGATGCGACGGACCATCTCATCAATGCGCTCTTCTGAGACAGACCCCGCTTGCACCATGGTCGTGATGTTGCCTCCCCAGTAACTCTCCCCAGTGGCGATTGTCTCCGCGTTGTACGCACCAGGCATGTTGAGATCCAGACCAGCATTGATCGATTTAGCACCGGAGTGAGTTGCAAACCAATCAGACATAATGTAGCCCTGAAACCCAAGCTCCTCTCTCAACAGGTTTTTGAGTACAGCCGAACTTTCACAAGTGTATGTCTGGTTCAAACGATTATAGCTGCACATAGCGCTCACGACTCCAGCTTTGATGGCGTTGGCAAACGGCCACATATATAGCTCGTGCATTGTTCGATCGTCTATGTTTGAAGAGATGGCCTCAATTCTCGTGCCGTTCTGAGAAATTGTGAAGCTGCGTTGAGTCTCTTGTTCATTGCCCACGATGTGCTTGGCACAGGTCTGAACACCTTGGGTCTGTATGCCCTCGATGGAGGCTGCTATAGCAATGCCCGAAAGATACGGGTCGATTGAGAAACCTTCCCAGTTTCTCCCCCCAAGACCATGTCTGCCAAGTGGTCCTGCCGAGGGTCTGTAGCTATCAGTCAGACGTTTTGATTTGTAAGGGAGACCTATGCTTGTACATACCCTAGGGCCACATGGATACCTTTGGACCTAAATTCTTTGCCTATAGCGACTCCTCGTTGGTAGATGAGCTTCTTGTCCCAGCTCGCACCCATGGTCACTCCGGAAGGGAAGACGCTGGTGAGGTCGGCGAGACCAACGCCATTGGGGCCATCCTGCATGCACAATCCTGAATAGCCGACTCGATCGATGGGGAGAAGATTTCCAATACAGCCACCCACACCTAGAGACAGTTTGCCCGTGATCATGGCGGATTTCTCGGTCAGGTTCAGCCGAGATACGAACTCACTGGCCATTGCCTCAGCAGTGACCCAAGTGCGAAATTGGTTTGCATCTCGCGCTACAAGAAATAGTCAACGAGGCTGAAGCATCGCAGTTCATGGAATCGGCGGGTATTGTACATACCGGTTACCTGCCCACTAAAGGGATTCGCCAGCGCGTGGCTGAGGAAAAGTAAAAGTGAAATCACGTAGAGCATGCCGGCAAAGCTGGGTTAGGACGTTCCGTTCCTTTAGGTGATGAAGGTTGGTTATAAGTGCAGATATAAGACTTTATAGTTGTCCGCCAATCGTGCTCGCTGGGCCCCATATTCCTTGCTGTCCAGGGGGCTACCAAGCTTACTTTTCCAACCAGCTAGCCAGTTCAATGTTCGCTTCCCCACATTCGCCTCCCCACATTAGCCAAAGAATCGCAATGCAGGCACAAGAGAATTGCAAGCGGGGAAACGACAGGGACGGGACAAATCTGGGGCTACGAAGCGAGATCAAAATGAAGTGCGATGATGAACGAACACGAAGACGAACTCGAATACGTCCTGGAACGTATCCGTGTTCGTCTTCGTTTAGCCGGTTGACTTAACTTGCAGTCTAGACACACTTCACTCTAGGTTTCCGGTTAGAAGATTCTACTAGCGTATTTCCTATGCGCGCCGCCACCCCAAGCGAGCCGCCATCTCCAAAACACATAGTAGATGCGATAAAATACAACGCGATATCTCAACAGTGGTCTACATGAATTTTTCCTTAGTCTGATGCTTTTTAAATTATAGCTAACCTCTTTAGGGGTTGAGACAGCAACTTGGAGATTTAGTGATTGAGAGCAATATATTTTTGGAGAGTACCGAAGTAATTCTCGATACCATAGTGGTGTAACTTTCTGATCTCTTCAAAATTGATACATACTACTAAAAGTTCTTCTCAACACCTATCTACCAATAGTATAATCTAAATGAAGTTGTATTTTATCGTATTTACTATGTGTCTTGGAAATCGCGGCTCGCATGGGAATTCTGTTGGTCGAAATATGTTTAATTAATCAACTAAAGTCCCATTAACCTGTTAAAGCCTAACTAGTATCGTCATGGCGATGCAGGCGCTTCCTTCCAGTTGAAGCAAGAACTCATTATCCTTACGCCTGATCATGCTCCAGTACAAACTCAGAGGCTGGTCCTCAACGAGAGGAAGAACCAGCCCAATACATGTAAATCCAAATGCCAAAGCCCGTGAAACCCTGTACAAATGAATCAGTTTCTTTGCAGTAAATGCAATCAATACAGCGAATGCGTGGGGTGCACCTCCAACCTTTCCCTGTAGTTTTCCCCTCATTCAACGCCACCTAATGTGTCATGAAAGCGAGATCAGACCGCATTTTCATAACAAGTCTCATCCTCCATTGATGCTTGCGGTGCTGATCCACTGACCAGTCAGACGTCATATCGGAATAACTGGCTGAGACTCTCTTTCTTCGGTCGTTGTGTTGCATTGTGTGTACCCAGCGTCTTTGAGACCTGGCAGTCGACTAATGTTCAGAGCTCACCATAACCCACACGTGGGTGGGTAGGAAGGGCCTAATTTTTACTAGTACCTCCTACACACATAGCTGACTTGCGCTAATACCAGTACAACTTAGAGTTTGTAGCGTAATAAGCACTGAGATTATGCCATACCTCGCTTACGCGCGTAATGACGCAGTAACAAATTGTTAATATCAGGCCATGGCTCAGTTTTGCAGTCCTTAAGAGCAACTTGGTCTCCCTCTGTCGATCTGTTCCACTGCATATTAGGTTTGACTTGGCTAACATTTTATGATGAAGTTCTCGGCGACAGTCACACTCATTCTAGGTATTTGCGCTAGCATAAAAGCCGCCAAGACCAGACCAAACATTGTCTTCATCTTCACCGATGATCAAGATCTTCGACACGGCTCCTTGGAGACTCAGAGAGCTGTGCAGAGACATTTGGCTGCAAAGGGCACCACCTTCACCAACCACTATTCTACAGTTGCTGTTTGTTGTCCTAGCCGAGTATCGTTGATGCGTGGTCAAGCTGCGCACAATACGAACAACACGGCTATCAGAGCGCCTGGGTTCGTATCTCCTCCCCTCCAGGCCATTTTAGATGGCGAGAGATTTTCAACTAATTGAGTGCCGATTTCAGCGGCGGATATCCCAAGTTTGTGGCTTCGGCAGAGAACGAAAACTATCTACCCCACTGGCTTTCCAAGGCTGACTACAATGCTGAGTGTAAGGAATCCCTGTTAAATTGTCTCCTATTACTGCGATATTGACAGACTTTACAGATATCGGAAAGCTTTTCAATGGCAACTCCCTCTTGAATTACTCCCCTGGTCCTCTCGGCTGGCGGCACATTGACGTCCTCGTGAGTATTGGAGCGTATGGTTAATGTCCCGTCTGACGTGTAAACAGCTCGAGCCCTACATAAATACCCACAATACCGTGGTCATGTCCGAGAACGGAGCAAGACCAAAGCACTACAGTGGCTTTCAACAAACAGACGTCATTCGCATCAAGGCGTATGCCTCGGAGTTAAGGGTGGTATATGCGAACGCTGACCTGGAAGCATAGACTTGAGCGGCTAAGATTGCTCATCGATGAGGAGAACCCTTTCTTCCTGATGATATCCCCAACCGCACCGCATGTTCAGAACCTCTACGACCCGCCTGCTCCACCTGCGCGCTATTATGGGCTCTTTAATGACACAACCGTCCCACGAACACCCAACTTCAATCCTCCTCAAAAGTACCAAAAGGGCAAGCCGAGTTGGCTTCGTGATTTAGCGCCACTGAACTCAACACAAATTGATGAGATCGATCTACTTTATCAGCGTCGACTGGAATCCCTAAGGGGTGTCGACGACATTGTTGACGATGTTGTGGAAATGCTTGAGAAGAGGGGCATCATAGATAACACATACAGTAAGCCAAGCGGTGGCTCTTCTATGGTTTCAACATATTCTACCCTCTTACTGACAACCCGCAGTAATATACTCCACTGACCAGGGTTATCATCTCGGAACACATCGTCATTCGGGAAAGTCTCTTCCCTACCTTGAGGACTCTAATATTCCTTTAGTCGTTAGGGGTCCTGGAGTCCCTCAAGGCGTTATCTCACGGACTCCTAGTACAGTTACTGACTTTGCACCTACTTTTCTTGAGATTGCTGGACTCGCTCCTGAGCTACATCCACCTTTCTTTGATGGTGCCAGCCTTTTGACGGCATGGAAGCATCCAAATACTCCAGCACTAGCTAAAAAAAAGGAAGCTATCAATGTCGAATACTGGGGCTCGGCATACACTGAGATTCCAACGTGGTCTTCCGGCGACTATGGTGTTTACTTCCCTGGAGTCTACCTCGACAATGACTACAAGACGATGCGGGTTGTTGGGGAGAAGAGTTCGTGGATGTACTCCAGATGGTGTACCAATGATACAGAGCTGTATAACACGACTGTAAGTCTCTTTGCGGAGGACATGTTATTCTACTTATGGCTAAGCTATACAAACCAGGATGACCCTTATGAGTTGAAAAATCTCGCCAACTTGACTGATCCGCACACTCGACGAGTCAAGTCCAGGTTAAACGCGTTGCTGATGGTCACCAAATCCTGCACCAAATCAACCTGCCGTGACCCTTGGAGCATCATTCAGCCTCCGTCTCCTCGCCATGGTAAAAGGGTTGAGACTTTGCATGATGCTCTGGATCCTCACTATGATGCCTTCTATGAGGCATTCCCGCTTGTCACTATCGATGAATGCATGAATTACCAGTTCGCAGCTAACGAGGGTCCCTTTTTCCCACCAAGTGCTCAATTTGAGCTTGGTTTGGAGTACCGAAACAGTACCGATAACTTCGCTTATGCAACGGCGGACCCCATCGAAACGATTGCCGAAAATTCCCCACTTGCTGGAGGCTGGGAACAACGCCAGGCGACATATGAAACCCTGGTAAAGGCTGCTAGAGTACTCACAGATCGTGAGATCAACAACCCCTCATAATTTAGTCGAATGTCGGATGCAATGGTACATGTGATGATGTGATCTTGGGGGAATGAATGGGTATCTTCCGTATAATATATGTCAAATAGATGAAACTCGGTCTTGGTTTCTTCTATACTTCGTCCTTGATCCGAGGATACAGAGGAGTCGGGCCGATAGCGAGAATCGCCGTCGGACCACTATTTAGTTTTCCGATTCTATCCCTGAGCCCTTTCTTTAAAAGCGAGTAATACGTAGAGATACTATAAACATTGAACTTTAGCACTTTGTTCCTCGATTTAGGTTATAGCCTAATCAAACGGAGTGACTGTGAGAACCTCCAGGTTCAAAGCGCAGAATGGATCCGGCATTAGAGTCTGTCCTAAACGGGTAGCGTAAGGGTTCAATAAAAACTATCCAGGGCATACTGCAAAAAAAAACTCCAGTGTCCTTGGATACCTCACAGCTCAGCAACCTCTTAGCCGGATGTCGCAAAGGGTCAGTTTGATCCAGGGACCACCAGGTAAGTCAGCGAGAGATTGTTTGATGCTTCGAATATTTGATGTCTGATATCCGAGGAGATTCTAAAGGGGAGCTTCGAGGCAAGTAAGAATCAACTGTCCCTGAAGTTGCGGCGAGGACATTGATGGAATTCTCATTCTATGGCTGACTTTAGGCGCTAGATCTGAGAACGCTGGATGGTTTTTAAGTAACTCTATAACCTGAGGGCTTCCTCGAACTAGGTGCTCCTAGGAGTGGCACAGGCCCCGTAACACTTGATTCGCAGAAACCTGCTCAAGTACTGCATGTGGGTCGCTGGTTCCTGATTCAGGGTCATTTGGCTGAATACCATGAAGAGGGTAAAGGTTCCCATCCTCGCATCCTTAGGAAGTAAAATAGGGAAGCAGGTCCGGGGCTAGACGTAATGCATAAACCTCGATGTTTTACCTCGAGATCAATTGTTAAGTGAAACCACTGATTTAGAGGGCTGAGAAAGCGGTAGGGAAAAGCGAGGTGTTAAAACACGGGTCTTTATACGAAGACTTTTTACCGCGCTTCTTAAAAGGGCTTTTCCCTATTAGATAATATAGTTTGGTCTTAATAGAATAGAAAGTTCGTTTTGCTTATATTTTCGGTGGAAATTTTGGGCAATCTCTTCCTATAATAGATTCTTCTGTTCTTAGTCTTCGAACTATATAGGAAGCTCCTTTAACACTTCCAAAGGCTAAGCCCTATTTCTAGGGACTAGCACATCCATATTATTAGTACCTTTTCTTGTTGATTGGAAATCAACTTTGTTCTTCACAGTTCTTCACATAGACACTTCGGGGATTATTTCCGATGGTGCGGCTTAATACACTAGTGACTCCACTACTCGGAGGCGGCTTCCGATAGTCGGGAGGCACATCCGACGGGATCGATATTTATCTCTTATTTTCCAGCGCGTTTCGCGTAGAGGCGATGTCAAAACTCCCCAAGCAGACAGCTATAACTCAGCCTCTCATGCATGATGATTTACGTGAAGACTATCGGGCGTCTTCCATTCAGGCAGTAGGCAGCCCAATTTCCCTTCCTCCAAATCGTCACTTATGCTAATCTTTGTCGCAGATCTCACAATCTTATTCGAGAATACCGGGTTCAAACCCAATCATTAAAACCTTTCCGAATGAGCTCTTCTACGTCTGCTGCCACCGCTCCTGAAGGCGACACTGCGGTAGCTCAGAAAAACTACAAGATCGTCCAAGACGTTGGCAATTTTGCAGAGACAGAAGCCAAACGCCCGGATTTCGACCAAGCCAAGCTTATTGAAGTCACCAAGTCGCCTTATCCCAACTGGAAGTATGGGGAGGGCGTACCCGATAATGGGGCGAGTCTCGTTCAAAAACATCATGAAATTGATCCCTATGCGCCAGATCGGCCAATGATTAACAACTATCGCCTGCTGGTCTCGGGCATCGCACCTCGACCGGTCGGCTTTCTGAGCACTATCAATTCCGAAGGACAGAAGAACCTTTCGCCCTTTAGCTACTTCCAAGTCATCGATCATGATCCACCAATGTTCATTGTGGGATTCTCATCGCGTCCCGGACGTGTCAAGGATACATACCGCAACTTGAAAGAGACTAGGGAATGTGTCATTAACACTGTCTCTGAGAATATGATCGAAGCAGTTAACGCCACTGCTATTGATGCACCATATGGTGTATCAGAGTGGGAGGTCTCGGGTCTTCACGAGGCGCCGTCGACAACCGTGAAGCCTTCGCGGGTGAAGGAGTCGGTCTTTAACATTGAAGGCAAGGTGATCGACATTAAAGAATTCACAGATCATCAAGCACCTGGAATGAGCCTTGCTGCTACTGTCCTCATCAAGGCCACTCGTTTCTGGGTTAAGGAGGGCACCGCTGATGCGGATTACAGCCATATCGACCTAGACAAGCTGCGACCAATTGGACAACTTGGCGGTGTCTCCTATGGCCGTGTTACGTCAACCTTCGAGCGACCACGAAGCAAGTGGGATGGCGAAGTCCTCAAGAACGAGTTGCTGGCAAAATTGGATGCAGCCAATCCAAATAAATAAACCTGCGTTTCCCTTGCTGTATATCAACTTCCCCGCAATGTATTAGATCTTAGTTACGCATAACGTACAGGAACTCGGAAATCTTGTATAGCTTGGCCCTCGCAGTTTCCAATATCGTAAGATAGTGTGAATTCAATGGTGAACCTAGACCTCCGTATTTATAAGCCCTCCTAATTCAAGACCAGTAGACAATGCAGTTCCCTTGCTTACTCCCTGCCGGATTAACTATTCGTTTTCATGTTTGACAATCTTACTCGCGGTTGTATGTTTCACAAAATGTGTTTTTCGGCTACTCCTACGTGAGGGGCTACTAGACGCTATATCATACGTCGTTAGTCCGCCATTGAATGATGACGTGTGGCCCAATTATTATCGATATCGGGAGCTCGCTCCGACATTGTTCACCGCACACCGGCAACGCGGAGATCACAGCTGCATATATATTGCCTGGGAAAAGCCCGACATTGGTCAGCTATTATTATTACCTCTCGCAATGCTTCTGAATCACATTGTGTTTCGCGCCACTGCATCTGTTTTTCGCTCTCCACAGCCAGCACGGGGTGTGCTCTCAAGAACAATGGCGACGGCAGGCAAGAAGAAGGAATTCCTTTGCATCATGCCTGATCGGCCCAATGTTCTTGAGTTGAGAAAGAAAGTCAAAGCGTAGGTGTGAAGTATATATTTGAAGTGCGCATGACGCTAACTGTCGTTCATAAGTGGCCACTATGAAGGCATACAGCCGTTGATTGCCCGAGGCAAGCTTGTTGATGGAGGTCAGTTTAACGAAATTTATGGTATTGGTTCATGAATTCACCCATTGGCTCGGTCGCTATACAGGGGCAATTTTCGCAGAACATCCACAGGAGGGAAAAGACGCACAGTTCTTGGGAAGTGTGGTCGTATACACGGGTGGGAGTGCTGCCGAAGTTCGAGAAATTATCAACAATGACATCTACGCTAAGAGTGGGGTTTGGGATCTTGAAAAGGTCCAAATTTATCCAGTAAGTGGCTTAAATAAATCCCAGCACAACAATCAAACGGTCAACTGATGAATCCGGGTATAGTATGTGCCTGCTGTCAGACAGCCACTCCATTGAATAACCATCTCCCCCTCCAAGCATGACTAGAAACATTCCCCGCCTTCCTAAATATAGGGATTGATACAGACAACTCCATTTAGATGCTAGGTTAACAAGTTCCACTGTCTTCAATTTGTTTTAATCGAAAGTGTCTTCATAATCACTTATTGCGGCCTTCAGTGCTGTGCCGAAATCGTAGTCGCCGCTATCCACGTTGACATTTGGCCCGTTCTCCAAGAGAACCGCGACATACCTCACATGACCAAGCTTTGCAGCGCAAATAAGTGCTGTCGTTCCCTGCCAATGTGTATTCACATCTAGGTTGAATTCCAGGAAATTTGGAATGGACAAATGATCCCCAATAGATGCAGTATATAGCATAGCGTTTGTTTTGATGTCGTCGACTTGTGCCCCAAAAGAGCCCGAGCCATGCCCCAGTGCTCTTTCTTTGCAGCCATGCTGAAGGCTGCCAGTACCGCTTAGGAGAACCCCTCGAAGCAGACCATTAGTTGTCTGAGAATTGCTAAGTTTCGTCCCTTTACATTTATCTGCTTCTACATCGGCCAGTCGTTGCACATCGGTTAAGTTGTGAGCTGCAATAGCTTTGTTCAAATCATCACGTTTGTGAGAGACTGTATATAGCATCCTGGCCATTCGACTAGGCGTTTTCTTTCTTACTGCCAAGTTTTCCTTTGGAGAAAGTGGATTTTGTATGAAGACATTGGTTCTTTGTGTTCGACCTTGTCACGGTTCTCAAATCGGTCTGACCCCGATGTGGCTATAAGAGTGAGCCTCGTAAGCGATGCTGTGATGTCTGACAGAGCAGGGAAAGTTTTAGTATTTAAACTGTTTTGAAGTTCGCAGTAGATGTCCCCAACAGCTTCCTGGTGAACAGCAGTTGAAATTGTGGTTTTGATGAAACCAATATGCTGAAAGAGATCCTGGGAGTAATTTCTAACACTTTCTGGCTCTTGTCGAATATCTGTTCGGGTCATAGAGAGGGATACACTCGTGATATTTGAAACAGCTGACCCATCTCTTTTGCCAGATGGGATCTCATCAAAAATTGTGCTCAACATACGCTCGACATTTACTTGTGAGCATCTACTATTGCTCGTTTTGGTTAGCTACGAGCTCTGTCGCGCTATCCTCCCATACACCTTATTCTATAGGTTCTCATGTAACCAACACCATCAAAATGTTGCCTCATTGGAGAGAGTTCTATGAACACCCTTGGCAGCTTTCCAGTATCTTATCAAGTTCCTGGCTTTGATTATCGTTTGATCGACTATCAGGCAATATCATCCTAAAATCATTCTTTGGCTTGAGAAAAGCGCCGTATGTATCTAGATGAGGAATATGACTTCATTACTTCATTGCAAATGAGACCGAAACTAGCCCGGGCATCCGGCACTTGTTTCATGGGTAGTGTTATTCCTATACAAGCTCCCTACTTATAAAATACAAAAGATGCAGAGAAATGTTGGGTTGCCCATTGTGAATAGATTCAGAATAACGGTAGTATCTCATAAGGTATACTTAAAGAGAGGACTCTTCTCCTCCATATTACGGAGCTGATCTTGAGTATACCTCTCCTCAATCTCAGAAGTAGACATCCGATCGTTCGTTTTGTTCGAGCTCCAGAGGCAGAATTCCAATGTTAAACAAGCCATAATCCCGGCAGCAGCGAACGCAAGTGAAGTGCCATAGCCAGTGGGGTATCGCGGCTTCTCATCAGCTTTGTAGATGTAACTCCCAATAATTCCACCTGCATTACCAACACAAATGAGGTAACCAATGGCCACGGCGCGCTTATGAGGATTTGGAATGTTGCAGACATTCCAAGCGTTGACACCGGGAAGAATAGGATACATCCCGAAGCAGGCGAGACAAATGCCAAAATAGCAGAGTGCTATGTTATTCTCGATGTCAGCAGCCTTGGAGAATAATATTGCGAATGCAACGATGAGTGACAACTGGGGTGCCACGATGAAAGGCATTCTCCACGAGAAGCGATCAGCGAACACTGAGAACCCGTAAGCCGACAAAGCACCGACGGTGTACGGAGGGATGGTCAGGAGCTGGGCGTTGGCTGATTTGTACCCCATGGACTGGATAATATCAGGCATGCTGAACTTGAGTGCATAGTTGGGTACGGCATTGGACCAGTTGGCGAGGATGAGAAGGTACATTTTCCAATCGCCTAGGACGCTGAAGATGATCCGTTTGTTGAAGCCCTCGTGGTGACCACCGTGGCTGTTAGAGGCTATTTGACGTACTTCAAGGAATCGAATCTCGTCTGGAGTAAGCCAGCCTGGAGATAACGATGGTGAGTCTAGAAGGAGCAAATAGCAAGCGACGGCCATGGCAATGGTTGCAGCGCCCTCTATGATGAATATCTGGAATGGATGTTATTCGTCGAAATCAAGAAGGTGAAGAAATAAACAAACCCAGCGCCAGCCTTCGTAGCCGGCCATACCATCCATTTTGGCGATCGCAAATGCCAGAAGACCTGAGAAGGCGCCCCCAGAAGCCGCAGATGTGTAAAGAATAGCGATGCGGGTCTGTGTCTCATTCGGAAGATACCATTTCGAAATCACAAGCACGGCGCCGGGAAGAAAGCCTGCTCTGGATAGATGTCAGCATTAAAAGAATAACTCTCTAATGTGCTTTGGAGGCATTACTCAAATAGGCCCAATAGGAAACGAATCACGACTAGACCGGCAAAGTTTTGAACAAAGCCTGTACATAGCATGATCACACCCCAGCTGAAGATCAGAAATCCCAAATAGCGCGACGGTCTCTTGAGTCGGTTCAAGATTATATTGCTCGGCACCTCTTCAACCAAGTCAGCGGATATTAATAGGTTTCGCGCAGGCGAGTCTTACGTACCAGCAAGGACATAAGGTACGAAAAAAATGGACAAGGCAATGTTGTACTGTATTCCATCCATGTGTAGACTTGGAAGAAGGCCCTCGATCTTTGCATTTCCTGCTGAAATTAAGAAGGTGCGGCTACTCGGGTGTGCAATTGGACATACCAATGTTTGTCTTGTCGATATATGCCATCAAGTACAAGAGAACAAACATGGGGACAAGCCTCATCTAGATTGAGACTCAGTCATCATTTTTGGTAATTTAGTCAATGAAGCGAGATCGGAGTAATACACACATCAACCTATACGCACTCTGTCAGTAAACCTTCTATATGCTGCGCGTAATTGAACTCACTTTTCTGAGAACTTGCTTCTTAGCTTCATTTGAAAAGTTCAACAGGAATTCTGCATCGTCGGCATTTATTCCCTGGCCCGGTTGGTGCTCCAGGTGCATGACTGCAGCGTCTTTGTCCGTCATGTTGAAGGATTTAGATGAAATAAGAGATGAGAGTGATATCGACAGCAGGATTTGAGACCATCTTATAGATTCCCAGTCAAGCAGAGATTCCTTGGGAACGCCCCGAGTTAGTATAGGAAAAAACACCTAGAGAACGGAAATTGGGGTGCGCTAGTTGAGCCTTGGCAACCCCGGATTCTTGCCGTCCAGAGTCCGCTTTTCCGTGAAATCCAATTCTAGCAATGAGCTTAAAAAGTGGGGCGGTCATCCGCTGCTTGATCTCATGGAACTGCGGGGAAATATGTTGGGGAAACGGAATTCGGATCAGGAAATGGGAGGAAAGCCTTCGGACAAGGGTCAGCCTTGTCTCGTGAGAGCGCGATTACACGCTATACATACCGATGAGTCAAGAGTCTGCCAATCACTGAACAGAAAGCTGTCCGGCATATTTGGAATGATGCCACCGTGAAGCATAGCTTCTGGATCAGACCCGAACATATCCGAATTCTGCAAGAATGGAAAGCCAATATCTGCATTGGTGCTGGCTTCGCCGCCATGAAGACCACCTTGGCGTGGATTCGGCGGATTTTCAGTCATAAATCGACATCTTTGTGCCTCAGATCTCAATTCGTCTAGTATGACACTGTATCGTTGATTTTGCGATAGACCAGTGGACGCTCGCTTGAGATGACCACGGCATTTCTCTGCGAGATCAAAGATCTTGCCAAGAGACTGATCGTCAATTTCATCAGTGGATCGTGTCGCTCGTTGAATCTCCCAAACATAAACCACTGCCAATGCGCAGAAGATTACATAGTGAGTCCACCAAAAGGAATGAAACAGCGTACTATCTCCCGCCATTCTGTTTATAATTTCGAAACTTGCTTTAGTGGCAAAGATGCATTCGGTGACATTCTCTGATGCTGCCTCACTCAAAAGGAAGGGTCGATTGGCGTGTATGAGGGCATGGGAATATGCGAGCTGCAAGGCAATAGCCTGGCGGCGGAAACTGGGCATCAATGTTGATGGTTTCACAGTCCCCAAGTGTGGTGGCAGGCTTGCACGCCATTCGTGCAATTCGCGGCCCAACCGATGGGCAGCTGCTAAGCGATCTTGGTTGGACAGGTCGCTGACTGAGTATACTTCTCGTGACACCTTCCCAATTATTCGTGCAATTCTATGATTGGATTAGCGGCGTGACGTCTTCATAGGGCAGGGATATATACTTGGCATGAAATATGAGAGCATCGATATAACAGTCGGCCGGGTCATCTGATATAGAAGGTCCCTGTGGTGTCATGTCCTCATCATTTACATTATCTGGAAAATCCTGATCGATGTCATCATCTTGGTAAAGTCGAGGCCGGCCAAATACAACACTTAGATATCTGTCAATGATATACGCCGCCCAAAAGGTGCGCTTATAGCACTCTGAAGTGATGTAATTTTGTCGCCTGCTCGTAAAAGGGAAATCTCGCTTCTCATCCCGTCTCCTATGCATGCCCAGCGAAAGAGTAATATGGAATGCATTCCCGAATGTATACCAGCCTTTGTTCATGCGAGATGTCTGAAGAAGATAGAGAACTTGAATCAGTCGTGCCTGTGCTGATTCAAGACGCGGGAAACCCATCTCCGCATCGGTCAATCTCATACCAGCGCAAAACAACTGATCACTTCTTTGCAAAACAAGTGACTCATCCTCTTTTGACATTTCCCCGTTCACCCTTACCCTTTCGAGGCGCAGGGTCGCGATGGCCATAATGGTAAGGAGAATCGCAGTTCTGGAATTACCAACCGACCGAGCAATGGGCCGTCGTTCTTGGCAATCCTTCAAGAACACCTCCATCCAGCCTTCAACAGTCTGTCGATGGAACATGCGGTATGTTACAACGCACGTCTCGAAATAGAACTGCAGCAGCTTTCTCGCCGTTGGAGTATCTGGAATGAAGTCGTCTAACGCGCTATTTACGACGTGAAAAGGTCGGTCTCCGGCCGATGCGAGGAGTTGATTTCGCTCCGCGTCATTTGAATCATAGGATGCGGACCCTTCCTTCTGGAACAGCTTTTTCCACGCTCGGTGTAGAAAGTTCAATCCTGAGGTAGAGTCAAAATATTGACCCTCGATTTCGATTTCAGGCGAGGCGCGATAATCGACTTGTGAATCCGAGACCTCATGAGAGACAGAGGCTGGTTGTTGCCAGATGGAAGTTTCATGTGACTGGTCACTTCTTAGCCTGTCTTGGTGTTCATTGATCGTGGCTGAAGGTGGTGGAGTCGGTGGCCGCCCTCGGCCATATTTCGCATCATATGCGCAACTGATCTTTTTCTTGGCACAATTGTTGCATGGAAGCGTGCCATCGCATCGTATCTTTTTCCTTTTGCAGACGTCACAAGCCCTGCTGACCTTAGGATCTTTCCGACGGTTCTCATCGTCCGCTTCTTCATTGGTCGTGTCCAGGGAGTGTTTGGCTGGAGATACCCTCGGAGACAAAGAGGCCATGGTCCGAGTGATCTGCATGGCATATAGCATGGAAAAGTAAAGAGAGCTGTGGGCTGAACGGAAAAGTCGGATTCAAATAAAGGTGGAGAAAGGTGAATTGCGGGGGAGACTGGCAAGAATACCCGAGAATCCGGGGCCGCCACTATGTCACGGCTCGACCTTCGCGTCCAGCCTACATAGTCGCGTAGAATTTAGTTTAGCGGTATCATAAGCTGTACAAACTACTAGTCCACTGTCTCCTTTGTACAATTTCGAAGAAAACGCAAGTCTTTAAACAAGCATATTATTGACAAATATTGTGGTTTGCTTCAACTATGTACACCCAATCAAGGTATTGCATATCCGATGTCCACTTGAATCTTCCATCATAGGACCACTTTACTGAGCGACGCGGCATTGATTGCAGCGTGAATCTCCTGCTCTGCACCAGGCTCAAGGGGCAAAAGAGGGGGGCGAACAGTGGCGTGAGTCAGGATACCCCGAGCAACAAGAGCATGTTTAAGTGCGACAGTGCCCTCCATGTGAGATCCACGGTGATAGACACTCTTGGTGATAGGCAATAGCCGATCATGTATTTCACGTGCCTTCTTATAGTCCTTGGCCTTGCCAGCCTCAATAAGCTCGATGAGAGGCTCGGGAGCGATGTTGCCGTAGCCAACCAGGAAACCGTCGACGTCAAATGAAGTGTGCAAAAGGTACTCGTCGTGACAAGAGAGGATTTGCAGGTCAGGTCGTTGAGCCCGGATAATGGGGATTTCTGTGTCCCATCGACGCATATTACGCACGCCGTTCTTCATGGCAAAGCAGCCGGGCTGGGCGGCAATATCCAGCATGGTCTGCAAGTTGTAGGTGGCCTTTGTGTTGTCGGGGTATTGAAATAGGATCAATGGTAGGCCGGAGACTTCATACACGCGGCGGTACCGATCTTGCGGAGCACCGGGCTGGTATCCGAAGCGCAGCCAGCCGTGAGACGGGTAGAGCAGTCCAGCAGCTGCGCCAGCTTCTTTAGCTCGCTTGGCCTCGAGAGCAGCAACCTCGGTGCCTTCGCTAGTGATACCGGCGATAATTGGGACTCTGTTATCAACAGACTTCACGAAAGCTTTGATGACTGAGATTTGCTCCTCGGTGGTGAGGAAAGTGCCCTCGCCAGCATGACCGAGCACCACAAGGCCCTTCACTCCATTGATGCCACCGAGCCAGGAGCCAAGACGCTGGATGGCTTCAAAGTCCACTGCGCCCTTTGGAGTGAAAGGGGTGACCGGAGCCGGTGTCAAACCACGCATATCAAATCCGACCATATTGACGATAAAAGCGAAGCGCAAGTGAATATTGAGAAAGATTTTGTGTTGTTATTTTGTCCAGCATCTTCGCGAAAATGGCCTCTTTTATCTCTGTCGACAGCTTTGTCTTGTTGTCTTGGCCCGAGTAGAAGGTCGTAGGAAGTCCGAGTCAATCGCCGGATTTCCGGAAATATGTGGGGCACGCGCAACATATGGCGGATTCTGTTGACTTTGGATCTCGGATTAGAGAAAGCCTCTCCTATCATCCGGTTAGTCACATAGATTTCACTCATTCCAAGGTTATGACGGGGATTGCGTCCTTGTGACCTTAACCCGGATCCTATACGCCCCATTACAGTGCCCAGATGTCATGCACGATTGGTTGAAATGGAAGATGCCTCTGATACTGGCTCTCTCACAGATCAGTCTCCTGAAGGATGTACCGACTATTTTGTCGGGATGGACAAGCAAGCTGGGGAGTCTCAATAACAATGCGACCTACCCATGATAACAGCTGAGATGCTAGTAAATAGTCTTCGCCGAGGAGATACCTAGGAGATTAAACAGAAAGACATTTATTTGGCGTAATTGCAGACTTCGGAAACTCGATTGACTATAGTGTAGGTTGAGCTCACTATTATCCCTTGTTCAAGGGCCTAGACCATCTATGCTATAGACAGACTGATCATCTTGCATTGCTAACATCGGGTTATGCTTTGTTTCTGTATACTGGCGAAAGGAAGTGACTTACATCGAACTTTCCCAACATAGTTTTGACATCATCCTCCAGACTGATCTGTGTGGAGTTGCACGCATCGTTTCCCTCAGGCTGGCCAATCCAACTCGCAACGATGTTGGTGTTGAGTATAGGACGTATCGCGTGGATTCCACCGTCACCCGTCATGGTTGTGAATCCTCGTAGTTGCTGGCCGTGGAGGTTGATTGTTACTTGCCTTCCTGGGAGCCGATACCCGAACGTGATGTTCGGGGTTTCCACATCCGCACTTATTAGATCAAAGCCAGTGATATAAGTCTTTGTTCCTTCGTCTAGAATAGACACGGCCAAGCCAGCAAGGTCTTGCAATGCAACGCCTTGCGTAGTCAAAATATGCTCTTTCCCGCACTTGCTGCACCCTTTCCCTTGTCCGGGATGTCGATCACAGCGAATCTCAGCAGACGCTCCCTTCCAGGCGAATTCACCAAGCAAGTTGATTTGAAAGTTAGTTTGAAAGCCCCTAACCATTGAACACCTTTGTTCTAACCATCGGTTTTGTCTCCACTGTCGACGCAGGGCCCAGAGGTGAAGATATGGTTGATCAATCCTTGCCGTAGAGCGGTACTTTGCACGCCAGTTTTTTCTTTTGTGGTCTAGGGGTCCTTCTGCTAGGCAGGATAGGAAGCCACGGTCGCTATTTATTCGGAATATCGTCTTCCAGAATGATTGCAGTTCAAAGACAGGGGCCATCGCCCGGGATGCAGACCGAAGGCGGAGGAAATCGACAGTAGAAAGATAATCCGCGATTTCAAATCGGATCTCCATCAGAAGCAAGGTGAAACAGTCAGCCCCAATACTCACATTGCTGCTAGCGCTCGTCGGTCTGCCTTGTATTTTCGAAAGGGTTTTCGTGGCGTCTGCGATACCCCGGATAACAGGTCGTTTCAAATACCATGGACCCTGATGATATTCCGCGCAAGTTTTGTCATCTACAGTGTGTGATAAATAAGTAACTGTCAATATTTCAAAACTCGTGGGAATAGGAAACTCACTGTGGAACATCGAATTTGGCTCGTGGGGTATATCCCTGCAGACTTCGAAAAGGGTATCTAAATTGACCTCCTCATTTGCAAAATGCTTGGTCAAGAGAGGCCAACAATGTTCATGAACAAAGACAGCCTTAGCTGGCTTGCTCTGAGACATAACGAACCAAGGGCCAAACGTCTTAACATTACGGCGCCTATTGTACCACATATCATCGGACCAATCGAATTCAGTTACAGAGACATCCGACAACTGGGCCCCGTCTGGAGTTAAGTATACTATGAGCGTTCAATTAGTTGTACCATCTATACATCCCTCATTGGCTGACATCTTACTCGCTTGATACCTTGCTAGGCAAGGGTACTCATTGCTGATGGGCCATGCACACGATATGCAGTCAGAGGACATGTTTTGGTAGATTTGATCACGAGAATTATGATTTGAATATCGGAGACAGTAGGATGTAATCAGATTGAATAAGTTGCAATCCTCTATATGAAACTTAAGGTCTAGGTATGTCACGTAATCGTGACAAGTACTTGGTGTAATGGATGCCATTTCTCACCCAATCCTTTCACTTAGGGAAGTCTCTTTTGGTACAGAGAAACTTTCTCTACGGGTGTTGATGAATAAGTAAACTGAACCACCAATTCTTTATGTCCTCCCTAAAAGACCACGAACGAGAAAAGGGGG